ATAATGTCTGCCAATAAAGAGCTGCCTATTGGCAATGTAGTGATAAAACCATCGGTTGGAAATTACCAGTCTATTATTATTTGCGTATTTGTGTTTGTTTGTATGCGTGTGTGCGTGTGTTTTTTGTTGGTTTGTTTGTATGTGTGTAAGTGTGTGTGCGCGCGCGTGTGTACGTGTGTGTGTGTTCGTTGACGGATTAGAAGCTGACAAATAAAATAACAAATTATAGTGGGCAGAGTATCGAATTGATGAGCCAATGAATGTTTGAAAGTTGAAATGAAAGAGTAAACAGAAAAATAAAATGACGGACAATAAAATAAATAATGGTGTTACCATTCTGTAGAGTAAAAGACGGTTGAATGAATGATTGAATGAACGAACGAATGAATGCATGAACAGATAAATTTTTTACAGACATGAATGAATGAATGTATGGTTGAATTAATTAATTAATTAAAAAACGAATGAAGATGATCATGATACATTATTGTTTTAATTATAACCGTAGTTGAAACGAAAACTAACGAAAATAGCCACAATGAAACAAAAGCAACAAACAAATGAAGTAAAACACACTTAAGAGCAAACCAAGTTTTAACTTATTTTTAAATATACATACAAAATTTTAAAATCCTCTAGATTTAAAATTTAGAAGAGAAAAAATAGAAAGGGAAAAAAAGTTTTTTAACAAAAAAAAAACCATAAAAATTGTAAATTCGTAAATAATAAATTTTTTCTTAAAAAACCCTTTTGAATCAATAAAACGATCAGGACAGACATTGGAAACAGTACAACCAGCCAGCCATCCAAACCCACTGATGCGTGCTAAAGCTAACTAAACAATTTTTAAACACATAAACTGAACAAAATAGTAGAAAAACAAATATAAATGCATGTAGTAAATTTTTCATACATTAAAAAAATCATTATGTTATAATAAACTTGATGTCATTAAGTTGCTACTATTACGATGATGTAATTGAAGCTATAAGTTTGACGTTATAAACTTGATGTCACCAATAAACATGACGTCATTCTAAACATTCAGCCAAGCGTACACCAGCCGCCCAATGCTGAGACCAGCGGTGCAAAGAAAATGTGTTGTTGAATCGCCCTGGGGTACTTCCACGTCATCATAATCACCATCGTGACGTCATCGTTATCACTATCCGTGCCGCAAATCGTTGTCGTCATCATCGTACTCATTTGCCATCTTTTTAATCATCATTACAGTGACAACCTTTGTGAAAAAAATTAAAAACTTTAGCCACTCAGAATCGTCATCGCCGTTTTTCTAGCGTCATCATCACAGCTATTATCTCCTTTTATCATCATTATCTCATTCTATCATTATCATCTGCATCAACATAACCATCAATGCGTCGTCACTGAACTTGAAAGGAAAAAAAAGAAATTAATTGCTCAAACCAAAGAACAACTAGACAGTTGCCAACAAGAATGGACCAGGAAAAATTATAGCCAGAAACATAAGAATAACATTAACATCTACCTCAATAACGTTTCAAACAACCAAAAACGTATTGGAGCAACACGAATATTTAAAAAACTAAATCATCTCAAAAGAAATTTTTCGCGTCGTCACTGATTAAAGTGACGATAGCCATCAATTGCATATGTCTTCATAATTTCTACTTCATAATCGTCATCATCCTAAATTGCACAATAACCACCATTGTAATTTTTGCGATAATCATCATTGTTATCATAAATTCCATAAGAATCATCATCATAATTTCCGCAATACTATCATCATCATCATCATCACAATACCATCATCATCACCATTTCCACAATGTTCATCATCATCAGCATCATTTCCACTATGTTCATCATCAGCATCACAATACCATCATTATCATAATTTCCGCAATACTATCATCATCCTCACAATACTATCATCATCATCATTTCCACAATGTTCATCATCATCAGCATCATTTTCATCAACGACATCCCTAGCGGTGAAACGTTGAAAAATTTATCACGGACAAAAAATTTTTTAAAATAATTATTGAAAAAATATCAAACGCTCCTGGCCAACTGCCTGCTGTTTTTCTCTTTATTTATTCATTCATTCATTTATTCATTCATTCATTCATTTATTCATTCATTCATTCATTCATTGTCCATCCATCTTTTAATTCACACTTAAGGTATTATCGCTCATTCACTTATTCATCCACTCACTCAATCACCCATTCGTTTGTTCGTTCTTTCGTTCAATCATTCATTAGTTCATTTGTTAATTCATTAATAAAAATTATTAATTTTTCATCTTCTTTAAATGGTGAAAGCCTATGCAGTATCAATTTTTCAGTTTTTTATTAAATTTTGAAGCCATTCATCTTTCTATCGCACAAATGTGAATCTCATTTCAACTTTTATTCCTCCATTCGTTTTTTAAATCGTTCAATCATTTCTTCACCTCATTTTCTTCAACCACTCAATCGTCATTCGTTCGTTCATTTTCCTTCAATCAATAGCTTCGATTTATTAATTTCCATTTAGGCTCACTCATGAAACGTTTTAAATTTAGAACATTCATCCATCTATTCATTCATTCATTCATTCATCTATTCATTCATTTTTTCATTCACCAAAGTATCAATCACTAAGCTATTTTTCAACCAACTTCGGTTTTCCATTTGCCCAAATATTAATTAGTCCATCTTCAACTAGTCCGCCCATCTCTCATTCATTTGTTCGTCCAAAATTGAATGAAGAAACAAAAGATGAGTGGAAAGATACGAGATCATTTATTCATCCATTCAAGGAACCAACTTTTACCTTAATGTGGCCAAAATTTTAAATAACACCATTTTTGGGCTTAATGTCAATTTCTTCCTCCGAAACACTAACCTTCCCGTTAAAAGAACGACTTTTACAAACTTTTAACACAGCGTGGCAGAGGTGAGGCACCGGCTTCTAGATTTACTCTAGATCTACCATTACAATCATCCTCAACATCTACACTCCATTGCATCAATCATCATCTTATCACATTTATCATTATCATTGCAGGCGAGATTTGAATTCAAATGATTTAAAGTCATTAATCAATCTATTTATTGTCGTTTTTCATTTTGTTTTTGAGACTAATTCTTGTATATGTGATTTCGATGTTAATAATAATAATAATAATAAAGTTATTAATAGCATGACTATAGCAATCTTAGTAAAATGCAAAACAAATGCAATAATAATACTTATTCAACAAGTTCGTATATTTCGATTTACACTTACTTGCATTACTTATACATACACACATACACGGACACATATATACAAATATACACATACACATACATACACAAATACATGTGTGATCATAAACTAACACATCAAAGCAATCGATCCTGACATTTTAAAAGTTTCTTAATTTAATTCGATTGTGACGTCAACATCATCAAGGTGAGCATTACCAGGTAACTCTAACAATTTGCATCATCATCGTCATCATCATTTCATAGGAAGTCGGCACCATCATCCTCATGAACGTCATCACATCCTTATCACTTTCATCAAATCATCGATTTGTCAGTTACAAGTTAAACTAAGGTTAGTGGATTCTTTTCTTAGTACTAAAAATCTAGTCATCTTCACTTTCATCATCATCACTTTCATCATCATCATCATCATCACAACCACAATGTGGAACTTCGGATTAAGAGGAAAGCCGAACAAGTATTTATATTTTTATTAGTAGAACAATTGAAAAGTTTAGATATAAAAGGAGAGAGAAAAAGAGAGAAAGAATAATGCAATTTTGAAACAAAATCCACTAAAAACATAACTTAAAAATAAGATAGCCTTTGTTTCAAGATGCTTTCGCGGGTTTATTTTGCCGTTTAGGGACGTATATGATCGGCTTTTTGTGCTTCGGGCGACTTCTCTTTTTCAACAATTTTCTCCCCCTAGCCGAACTATTTTGGCTGTTTTTATTTATGGACGCCACGTCAGTTTTGTTTTCATCATTTATCGGAGAGAAATTCAATTTTTTATTGCCACCACAATCACCGCTGGCATTGTCGTCGTCATCTTCATCGATGAACTTCCTCTTACCTTGTCTCGCCTCGTTAAACGTTCCATCCAGTTTGTCACCAACTTTCTCTTCTTTTACGTCCTAAGGTGAATTTTTGAAAAAAAAGTATAACAGTCTAGTAGAATGGAATCATCCTATTCAACTATCTATCTCTTTGTCATTATGGGCAAAAAAGTCCATAAAAATTCAACAACAATATTATATTATTACGTCATCATAAAAATCATCATAACTGACGTCATCGTCATCACAAATGATCATCATTAAAAAATACTTGAGAGTTTGCTAATTTCATTTTGTCTTTTTTATTTTTCTTTGTCATTTTAATTTCTTTGCTTACGTCGCCGCCGTCGTGATTACTTTCGTCATTCAGCTGCCGTTGGCATGTTTCGCTTCTATGTTTATCTGATGCCATGTTGGTTTGTTGTTGTTGAATGTTTTTGTTTTGTTGCTGTTGGTTGGCTTGTTGTAGTTGAACGTTTTTGTTTTTCTGCTTTTGTTGCATGTTTTGTTTCTGTTGTTGTTGATGGTTGTTATGTTGTTGCTTCTGATGTTCTTTCATTTTATGTTCCTTGTCAAGTAGTTGTTGTCGTTTTTGTGGCTGTAGCTGATGCCTCGGACACACGCCACCACAACCATCGACATCGGCCACAGCGACGTCAACCTTCCTCTCAAAACAAGCCACAAAGAAGCCATTAGTTAGATCTTTCGACGGATTCAACCTCACACACTTCGTCAGGTCACTGCCATCACTATCATCACCATCATCTTTTGTCATGGTACTATTACTAATTTTATCCATTTCATTTTTATTTTCCTTCTTCCTTCTTTCAGATTCGCGCACTGCATCATCATTATCATCATCAACTTCCATGTTGTTATCATCATTATCACCACCACAACCAGCAGTATTATCATCACTAATGTTTTTGGGAATTCCCCTCGAGATTATTTCCGGAAAAATCCTGACCAACCGGAAGTGTTTGTTTCTCTGGAGAGCGTCCAGTACGACGTCTTCATTTTCCTCTTTGTGGATGGAGCATGTCGAGTAGACCAGCCGCTGAACGGATGGAAAGTTCCTCATGGCGTGGTTCAGTAGCATCGATTGGAAATTCGACAGCGATTTCAACCGACCAATCAATAGCTTACTTTTTGACGACGACGTTGTGACGTCATTGCTGTCGTCGTCAACGTCGTATCTGTCAAGGATTCCTGACGTAATGACGTGATGGGAAGGAGTATATTAGATTTTATATTCATTGAACAAGTTGAGTTATCTATTTGTAAAATGAGGCAAGCAAAGTGAGTTCAGTCAACAGTGAACAATTGATTTAGCTTGGTCAATTAACTGACCAACAACTCGATCAACATATCAATTGTACTATCAACCAATCAAACACATCCATCCAACCAACCAACCAACCAAAGAAACAGACCAACCAACCAACCGACCGACCGATCAACCAGCCCACCGACCTGACCCACTGCAAGATGGATCGACCAGCATGAACTCAACGTCGTCGTAAGAGCTGCCACAGCCAGCATCATTAGCATTTCTGCCCTTCCAGTTCACGGTCAGGAAATCCAAATTTTTGCACACTGCACAAAGCACTCCCGCCTTCAGCAGCATCGTCTGCATGGTTGAGAATCTGTGCGCATCACGATCAAATGCATGGATCTTCCTGTGTAACGTGGAAATTGTTTATCTATTTTATTTATTTTTTTTTTGAAAAATTACTGCTTCCAATTATCATTCGTGATGAATAAATATAGACAACAGCACCACGATCATTGTCACCATTGCCATCAGGGTGTCATTAAAATTTTATTCTAATCTGTCATTAAAATCATCGTCAATATCGCCATCATCACCACTATCCCATTATCACCACCACCACCATCATCATCACCATCATCATCAGCACATCAGCCCAAACCCTTTGTTCTCCATGATAGCAGCCAGGTATGAAGTTTTGTTTCCGGGAGCTGCACAGCTGTCAATCACTTTGCTGCCTGGGGGAGGAGCCAGTGCTGAGGCAGCTAAGCAGCTGGCCTGTGATGTCGTCAATAAATCGATCACTCAAAAAAATCAACTAATCCATCCATCGATTCTTTCATTCATTTATTAATTAATTAATTCATTCATTAACTTATTTGTGCAATCAAATAACTGAATGTTCATTCAACATTCTTTTGAATGATAACCAAAAAATAACTAACTCAACCAGCCAACCAACCAACCAACCAACCAGCCAGCCAACCAACCAGCCAGCCAACCAACCAGCCAGCCAGCCAACCAACCAGCCAGCCAACCATTCAACCAACCAACCAACCTTATCTTGCAAAATGATGTCTCCCCTATCATAGAGCATGTGACCAAAGAATGAGGTACCAGGATGGAAAACCAGGAGGTCCTTCAACGTGTAGTCTGTCATGAACTCTTTGGCCTTCAATTTGCCCACCTCAGTCAGAAATCTGTTTTTTTTTCATAATTTTTCAAAAATTAAATAAATTTAAATAAAATTAGAACAATGATAACTTTTATTTTAATTTGATAACAAAAATATTTGAAAAATTAGTTACATCAAATAGTGAAAACAAATCACAACTTTGAATAAAATACGCCAAAGAAAAAATAATTTTTAAAGACTATGATGAACAACTTATCAAGAAAAAATAAAACATACTCGTTGTAATCACGGCAAATGTGTCTGACGTGTATGAAGCCATCCTTCTGGAAATGTTCAACGACATCAGCGGTGGTCGCCTGAAGTGTGTTCACTCGCACGTACCTCGGCAACTTAACTGACGTAAAAATATGAATGATATTTGAAATATGAAGTCAACTATGAAAGGCCATATTTTTAGACTATAAATAAATATTTGACAAAATTGCAATTATATGCTAATAAATTTATTCATACAAATCATGCAAAATTATATACTATAGAAAAAATTCAAATATTTTTAATATTAAAAAAATATATTTAAATAGAAATAATAACAAGAGGGTTGAAAATAATTAAATAAATCTACAATAATCAACAATAATCATCTTACAAATATTTATTGAAACACTCATAAAAAAATGTATACATTGCCAGAAAGTAATCACAATGAAATGGACATTTAATAAAATTATTAAAGAAATACTTTTGGTTTCTTCATCTCCTTGCACGACCAGCTCATTATTCTCATTTAACTTTTTGCTGGATTTCAAAAAATTCAACTGAACATTCAACGCCGATGAACTTTTGTTAAGCACTGCCTGCTCAAAAATAAGAAATATCTCAAATTTGACTGTCCATTATTTGGTCATTATTTAATCACATTTTAAATTTAATTATTTCAAAATTAATTTATTAACAATACAAATGTTATAATATTTCAACAAAATTCTTTCAATAATGCACTGAAAATGTACAAAATGTTAAATGAAGAATTGTTGTAATGTTGTTAAAAACATTCACTAGCCAGTAAATTTTGTGGCAACTGATCCGAGCTGCCAAAGAGGAACTCGTAGAGTACGACTGTCAACAGGCTTCCATCTTTTAGTGACTTTTCTTTTTTCAGAGTCGGACATTTTTTGATGATTTCTTTGAGGATAGTTGAGTACTTTATGGTCTCCGATAGCAATGCATTCAATTTCTTTTTGTTCTAATGTTCAAGTTCAAACAGAATTTTTAAACATAAGTTTTAATGATAAAAAAATTTACATAAAACCAAAAAATTGGAAAATAAATTTCAATTCAAATGAAAGGTCAAACAAAATCATCTTAGCAAACACGAAAATGGAAAGAAATGTTGGGAAAACAAATGACATTCAAATAAGATGGCTGATGTAACTCTGAAAAAAATAAAAAAATACTTAATTATCAAAATTAAAGTTTTTCAAGTTTTATAGCAGCATTAAGAAAAAAGAAAACCAGCCTAGCCAGGCCACAGAGCATCAAAAGACTGCTAGTCCCTGACTTATGGCTATGGGGCATACCTGATCAATTCTACAAATTGTTAATTAGAATCTAAGGTTCTTAAAACTTTTTACTTCTTCATGAATTGCCTGAGTGAGCTCCGGACACGAACAATTTTTTTGCCTCTTTTTTTTATTTTATTTATTTTTTTTCATTTTGATTTTTATAGAACATTGAATGTCAACCTAATTTTTAAAAATTTTTTCATAAATTTGTTTGCACTTCATTTTATTTAATTTATAATTCATTTCATTCCCAGTGCAATAGCTTGTCATCGTCATGGACGTCATGTAAAAATCATTGTAGGCTGTACTTGTACTGTATTGATTCAAAAGCCAAATGAATGAAACCTGAAAAAGTGAAAACCAAGGCAAATCCAAATGAAATAAAAATGAATGAAATGCTAGGCCAGTGAATAGTTGAAATTGAAGTGAACCAGAGACTAATTTACTACATTTAATCTTAATGTAAAACATTAAGACTACGTACATGGAAAAAGACTAACATACTACTTAATTTAATTTACTACTACTCTAATAATACTACTTAAAAATGGACTAATTTATTACCAACTTTGTATTTGCAGTTGTAGACCATATTCTTCAGACCACCTTTCTTATTTTCAATCATATTCAAAATTCGACCGGCTTCATTATAGAGAGACATTTTGTCTATAATTAGCAAAATAGATACTTAAATAAGCAAATAGATTACATAAATAAGCAAATAGATTACATAAATAAACAAATAGATTACATAAATAAGCAAATAGATACTTTATCTGAATAATTTTTAACTAAAAAATAACTAAAACCAAAAACACGTGTATGGCGTTTACGTTTATGTTTGCATTTTATGTGTAAAAATTAGTCTCTATGAAAGAGAAAAAACTGGTTTAGCGCAATTTATTTCCAGTCTTGCATGATTCCATACCATCACATTACCAATGTAATTCGGTTACAACGAGCACACAATATTATAAATCCAGTATAAAATGTAAATATATATATATATATATACATACATATACAATTATTGATGAAAATTACAGCTAACACGAAACATGCTACAATTTTCATCCATAATTAAATTTCTGACAATCTTGATCCAATATGTATATATATATATTTATTTTTTTATATGTATATATATGTATATATCAATGTAAATAGATATTTTTGTCCAGGGTATATGAGCTTTGACCTATCTGGCCCCCCACGTCTGTTTTGCAGTGAGAGAGAATTGCATTTATCTGTCGAAAATTTGTGTATGTTTCAATTTAATACATCAAACTTTTAATTTTTCCAATTCACTTAATGATCTGAACAAGAGTAGAATGAAAGCTAACACGCAGAATCATTGTTTGAAGATTTTCGTGCCTGCACATGTTCGAGAGAACGTAGATGAAGGCCGATATGTAGATGCACCCTAATTCTGGGTTTCTTATTGACACGTATTCTAAATTGTTATAAAAAAAATTGTTTGTAGTATATTTATAATAATGATTAATACAAAAATATCGTTTATGAAATTTTAAACCTAAACAGAATCTAAATAGAAAATGTTGCAACAAAGAGGTTACGTAAGCTAGTAAGAACATTTGCACTTTAGACAGATGCTCTGCTTCCTGAGCCGACAAATTTTTGACATGAACATGCTCCAAAATTTATGGAAAATAAAAAACTACATTAAAAGCCTTCTTGTGATGGATTGTGGATCAAGTTAACGCCATTTATGCCGTGAAATGATTCCTCCAATTAAACTGTTTACTGTTAATCAGAGAGAGAGAGAGAGGAGAGAGAGAGAGAGAGAGAGGAGAGAGAGAGAAAGAGAGAGAGAGAGAGAGAGAGAGAGAAAGAGAGAGAGTGAGAGAGAGAGAGAGAAAAAAAGAGAGTTGCATTTATCTTTTCAAATTTTCATACATAAATAAACAGACAAGAGTTAGTAAACCAGGCTAAAAATATATCGTTATTAGTGATATGAAAGAATTTTTAATCATCTATATCATTCTATAGAAAGGCATTAAAATTAAATAAACTCGTAAAAATTAATAACTAACCTTCAACTGTACTGAAAAGTCTAATGACGTCTGCTTTGTCGTGTCTGTCATTAATAGGAGGGATGGCAGTGGTACAGCTTGACTCGTAGTCGGCACTGGCTGATTCACACTTATTAAACAATGTTCCACATGGATAGGATTTTTTATCTTGTTTTTGGCACAAAAAAATTAAATAACTGTTGTAAAAAAAAGGATTTAGATGGAAACAAATACATTTGAAAAATGTTTGACAATCTGCATATATATAAAGTTTTCAGTGTTTGATCATACAGGAAAATAAAAATAACCGAACAAATTCATGGTCATTATGTTGAATATAAACTAGCGTGTAATTAAAAATAAATAACACTTGTATTAATAAATACTTACTGCCAAGACAACATTGAAAGATGAAAATTTTCGGAACTCCCTTCAGACCAGGACAATTGACGCCATCAAAGTTATTGACGATATCAGAGAATGCATGAAGTCTTCCATCTGCATCGTAGCAACCTCCAATCGTGCCGTGGCTCATAATTATCATAATCCATACGTTGTGGCTTTCATTCGAAGTGTTCAAATATGAACGCTCTTCTACAATAAATTCATCCATTTCCTAGAGAAAACAATGTTTAGAATAGAAAAATTGCGTAAAAATTGAATTTTTTAAAAATGTGGTCAACTTGCAAAATGCGAGAATGAAGAGAGTAAGTACAATAAAAAAAATATGACAGAAAATCAAATTTAGAAAAATGATTTCAACTTTGTTTATCAGAAGTATCTTGTCAACCGAAATTGAATGTAGAAATGTATAAAACAGGAACTTACGTACGAAACTTTGTGCGTGCATGTGAATGAAACAAAAAAATAAAGCAAAAATTGAAAAATAGAAATATTAAATAAAACAACGAAGATATGTATAAGTAACAAAAAATGCAAAAAAGTATTTGAGGTTGATGAACTGACAGACTGGTGGTACAAAGATATAGGGGAGAGAAATTTCTGAAACGGCGGATGAAGAGGTGTGGAAGTTTTGATGGTAAACCATTTTGCAGATGTTTGGAATGAAATTTTGTAGATGTCTAAAACAAAATTTAAAAAATAACAGCATTGGTCAAAACGACCTCGTAAATAGCTGGTTAATATATTTGAATTACATTTTCGTGAGATGATGAAATTCAACTAACTTTTTTTGACAGTTCAGTTTTGCCAATGACATCATATTTCATGAGACCGAACAATTCTTTCAAGTTTTCAAAATCTTTTTCTGAGCCATCCCTTCTAGCCTTATTCCCATTATCAAAATTGATGTTGATTATGACAACACGATTTTTGTAATTCTTGTTCACTGGATAAATACATTGCAACTGAAAGTAAAATGTAGAGCAATATGGAATGGAGAATTAAACGACCAAAGCAAAAACAACTAATGACGTTATAGTTATACACATACACACCGCGTAGTTGAGTGTTGAATACTTGCTTTTTTTCATCAGATAATCATTGTTGATCAACTCAAGTTCACCGTCAACTAGTTTAAGCAAGCGAAATGTTTTACAAGTTATATAAGTTATTAATAATAAGTTTATTTAGTGATTATTTGAATGTAAAAAAAACTCAAAAACAATTCGAAATCAAAGTTGCTTGAAAAAAAACAATTTTTTCGGATTTCATACCAAAAGTAGTTTGCATAAAAACAGAGACTGAACAATAATTACTAATTTTGCCGGCAATAGCTTTTGCCTGTTCGTCTCCCCAGAGAGGTTTCGGATCAGGTTCGAGAATTTCAATAGCATGAGTTTGGCCTGTTGATTGGAGAGCTTGGATAAAACCTTCATACGCTTTGGGCCCTCTCCTGGGCAGCAAATCCAGCAGATATCCAATCTGCCTCATCTCCGTTCCTGAGTGCTTAAGAAATAATAAATTTCAATTTTTTTAACCTAGAAAGAGGTTCAAAATTAGTGACGGATCTAGACAACTTTGATGGAGAGGGGAGGGCAAAAATTTCGAGGGTGTTTAAAAATATTGAAATGATGTGACGGGTGGCTGATGACATTTTTTGCTCATTACGACATGTTTGGTTGAATTTCCACGTAAAACGCTGTTTTTCATGTGTAAAAAATGAGCTTTACTGTTATTTAATACAAATTCTGGGAGGCTGCCTAGACATGCCACTGAGTGTAATAAGCTTTAAACCATTTTTAACCTCAAATCAAACTTTAGTTAATCTTGAAAACCAGTCATGCTAAATAAAACAAATATTCATAATCTATTTTCTAATTCAAACGTTTGAAAAATTTTCAAGTCCTTGCAGATTTTTTTGGTAGAATTTTAGTTCAAGTATCAATAATCTAAAATTGAGTATAGAGAGAGAAGCAATGCATAGGAAAAATGTCAATAGATTAAGAAAGAAAGGCAAGTCCAATGAGCATTTCTATTAAGATTTAAGAATTGGAGAAAGTAAAAAAAAACCAATTGTAATTGTTGTAAAGAAGTGCTTTTTGGTGAATAAGATTCCAAAATGTCTTTGAACCAACCAATAAATTTTAAAAAATTGAAAATAAATATAAATGAAATGTTCACGTAATAAACTTTAACTTTCATATCATCTTGAGTCTCTTCATTCAGAATATTGTATTGCCGCAGTTCGGCGTAGAAAGAGGGGCTTATTTTTATTTCCTTCATCAAGTTCAATCTTTTTGAATTAAGGAGGTTTCTTTTTGAAAATTAGTAATTTTAATTTAGTTAGGCATAAGTAAGTTGTTTTAACATTTAATATTCAACAATTCATTTATTAATTAAAAAATTAAATGATTAAAAAAAGATCAGCAATTAATTTTAATGGAAGAGATCAAATATCAAATTATACATTCAATAACGGTGTTTTTTAATTTATTTTATATTTATTTATAAAATACAAAACTATAAATAAAAAAATATAAAAATTATTAAATAAAAAAAATAAAGCTAATCTAATGCTAAAGTAATTTTAGCTGAAGTACTTTTAGTTTAGTTTTTTAGCTGAAGTAATTTTTTGAACAGAAATTTCATTTTTACAACTAACATTTTTTTTTCATTCATGATGTTCAAATGCTTCCAACTTCACTAAAAAATGTACAAAATCAACTGGCAATAGGAATAGAGCTTCCGAGTTACAGCTTTGGATATATATAATATATAAATATAATATCCATGGTTAGATCTTTCTCTTAGGTTTTTCCCAAAAGTTAGGGTTTTTCCAATTTCAAATTTTGTAAGAATGGCTGGCCTAGTTTGATAAAAATAAAATCGCCGGTGGTACTCTTATCCAAGGGTAGTACGTCTATGTGTGGCGCTTTTTTTATAAAATAATATTTTAATTATTACAAATAATTTAAAAATATATTTTTATTTACAAATTTTTTATAGGTTTAATAAAATTGAAAAGTAATTTGAAACGATTTGCCCATTGACTGTGTTGTGCCATATTGTCATTTCTTTGCTCAATGAAATAATTTTGACATTTGTGTAATAATAAATAAAATAGACTCTTGACTTGTGGATTGATTTTACAGACTTCAATTAAAATGTAAAATTATTATTTAGTAGATTTATTTTCTTACGTTTTTTTTAGTGTCAATTAATTATCTTTTCAGACAGATATTTTTTGTCTATTGAGTTGATATTCACTATTGTTGTTTTTATTTAACTTTAATAGTTAATTTTTTAATGTTTGTTGTTTTTATGCTTTAATAATTAATTATTTTAATTTAGTATAAATTTAAAAACATTAAAGTTTTATTCACATCATGATTGTTTTTTTTTAATTTTTTTTTCTCGGGACTCAATTTTAAAATGATAGCAATTAAATAAATAACAATTAATTATACTCAATTATACTTGAGCATATTATATATAAGAAAAGACAGAGAATATCAATATATATTATATATTGATATTCTCTGTCTTTTCTTTATTTATTAAATAAAGTTTATTTTATTAACATATTGAATGAAATGATTTACTTATTATTTATATTTTTTATCCTTCTTATTTCTAATAATTCCAAGTTGTAGTGAATTTTAAATTAAATTTAAAGAAAAATTTTTCCTAGTTAATAAAATTTAAAAATAAATTTTTGAATCAATATTAAATTAAAAGTTGTTTAACTGTCAAATAAAAACTATATTAAAAGAATTCTTTTTTAAAATTAAAAATTATTTTTATTTCAGACATCAAACAATTCTGACAATGTTTATGAAATCTTGTTGGTGGTGCCTTTTGTTTCTTTTATCATGTCTGATGTTCTCCAAAGTTTTCCCTGATGTTATTGTGGTTAGTTTATTAATTGATTTTGTTGAATTGAATTAGCTAATTATTAGCATATCAGACTATTTATTAAAAAATATAAGATAATTAGAATGTCTATGGTGAAACCATAATATCATCCACCTCAGATGTTAGAATTTATTTTATGGTCCCAACGCAGATCTTACTTAATTATAAATAGTTATGTCATATGTGTTGTTTTCAGTATTGTAAAAAATAAGGGTTATGATATATGTTATCTTTTATTAAACAATTTTATAAATTTAGTTGAATTTTTTTAATTATGTATATATATATATATATATATATATCTATATTCTATATGCTATTCATTTTATTCAAGTTGCAACTAAATTAAAGTGCAATACTTCTATGTTTATCAGCAAGTTAGTTGATTAAAAATTTTTTTTAAATTACATCAAGCTGAATGAGCAGAATGAAACTGTGCTAACATTACACTCATTGCAAGCTAGATTTGGAGATGAGATTCCTAGTTCTGGCATATTTGTAAGATTATTTTTATCATTCATTCATCTATTACTCATTCATTCATCCATCATTCACTCATTCATTCATCCATTCATTTATTCATTCATTCTCTTTTGATTTATTACATTTCAAATTCGATTTCAATTATTTTAGTAAATTATAGTTCCAGAATGTTGTAATAAAATTTTCTTCATTATGAAAAAGAACAGTTAAGTTTTATTTCATATCATACTACTGCATATGCATGAAATGACAATTTTGATATGTTTATATTATTCTTTGGATGTGTGTAGTTTATTCATTAGAGAGACAGAGCAGAGAGAGAGAGAGAGAGAGAGAGAGAGAGACCTACTTCTAAATTTAATATTTCATTTGTTTACTGAGAGTTTGGTTGTCATTTCGATTGTTCTAGGGACATGGAAATGTGGTGGAGCCATTGGAAGCTTGCACCAGAAACATAACACCGACCCGTCACGGCAGCAATCATTCTCATCACCCCAACTACTTTGCCATCGTCAAGAGAAGGGGCTGCAATTTTTATGATAAGGTAGGTAGGTAGGTAGGTTGGTTGATTGGATGGTGTTTTTGCGTCTGAGTATGTAGAGTTTCTTATAGGCTTTTTTTCATCACTGATGTTTTTCTAATCTGAGAAGATCCCTAATTATTTTTGGCCCTAGATGTACATATGCATGTATTTATGTCTTTGTGTATGTATGTATGTATGTGTATTGCTGATGTTTTTCTAATGTTAACTGTTTATATGGTTAAATATGTATGTTATCAATCCCATTACATCACCGGCATTAGTTGCCAATATTCATAGTAGGTTTATCAAAATTGTTTCTAATAAATTCATCACTGTGGTTAGTATTTTTAGGTATTGTACTCTGTGCTACTGCATTACTATAGTATTCATGCTATTCACAATGGTAATCAGGTGATAGCTAATTATATGATGTTGATCAGATGATAGCTAATTACAATAAATGCCATCATTCTGTTGTTTGCTGTGCTGATGATTGATTGCTCTCAACACTTTGTCCTCTATTTGTCTTTGTGTCTTTGTGTCAAAGATTATCTCCTCATGTAGCTTCATATATTCATTTATTTTTCTTAGAAAATCGTCCTTAATCATTGTTAATCGTTATCGATAATAAAGGATGCACCTTCTAGATATTCTCACACTCCTAGATATCATCACCATCATTTAATTACCTCATGGTGGAAAAAGATTTTTTTTCAATTTAAATGTGGCCATAGTTCACTCAATTTACATATTTATGTGTGTATACCATTCAAATGTTAATATTATTGTTGTTATTATTATTATTATTGTTGTTGTTATTATTATAATTATTATTATTTTTATTTTTGTTATTATTGCACATTCATTTGTGCTTGTATAGTTTTTTTTTCCATAACAGAAAAGGAATCAAAGATTGTGAATTGACTTTTTTGAAAAAAAAAATTGACCTTAAGTTTCTTATCAATATCATTAATTATTATCACTAATATCATCGTTAATATCATCATTATTATAATTATTATCATCGTTATATTATTATCATTATATTATTATATTATTATCATAATCGTCAACATCATTATTACTATCACCATCATCATCGTCAACATCATTATTACAACATCATTATTACTATCGCCATCATCATCATCACTATTTCTATCATCATCATCATCGTCTCCATCATTATTACTACCACATGGCAGGTAAGAAATGCAGAACTAGCGAACTACACGGCGGCCATAGTGTACAACGTAGACTCTGACGACATCGTTACCATGACTGGCACAGATGACGAGGGTAGGTTATTATTAATATTATTATTATTTCTATTATTATTATTATTATTATTATTATTATTATTAATTATTTTCTTTTATAAAATTTTATAAATTATTTACATTTATTTATTTACAATCTTATATATTATTAATAATTTTCGATTGATTTCATTTTGATTTCATCTTTTTGGTCAATAAAAGATTGTTTTCATTATTATTATTATTATTATTATTATTATTATTATTATTATTATTATTATTTATGTTGATGGATACATTATGCAAGGGTACGTTGTGAAGATACCGTCTGTTTTCATAGGCGAGTCTTCGTTCAACAAGTTGTCACACTACCTCACATCCAAGTAGGCAGTGATGATGATGATGATGTTGGTGGTGATCATGATTATGATGATGTTGATGGTGATCATGATTATGACTATGTTGGTGGTGATCATGATTATGATGATGTTGATGGTGATCATGATTATGACTATGTTGGTGGTGATCATGATTATGATGATGTTGATGGTGATCATGATTATGACTATGTTGGTGGTGATCATGATTATGATGATGTTGATGGTGATCATGATTATGACTATGTTGGTGGTGATCATGATTATGATGATGTTGATGGTGGTTATGATTATGATGATGTTGATGGTGATCATGATTATGATCGTGGTAAAATGAGGAAAATTGATAGTGACGATTGTTTTTTAAATTTACCATTTAAATTCCGGTTGAAAATCTTGTCAAGAAATGAATGTTGATGAAGGCATTGAATATTGAAAACGCGTCCACACTACCGCTGCCTGCTGAGATCACATCACACACATAAACACGTTGAATTGAATCGAACAACACATTTAAAAGATACACGCACATTCTCTCGCACATTCTCTCATACACCCACGCACACACACACAAACTTACTCACGCTTACATTGTCACAAACACACTAACTCGCACACACACACACACATAGAGCAAGCTCTTTCTTCCATATTTTAAAACATACATATACCTCGAACATCATACAGTTACTCCATGATGATATCATACGACGACTCCTACCATCCAAAGTCCGATTTGTATCTCATCGGAAGCGTTTTACTGTCCCTAGGACTAATTCTAATTTGTGGCATTCTGGTTTTTATTGTTTGTATTGTGTTGTTGTTGATGATGTTGTTGTGTTGTTGTTGATGCCGTTACTGTTGTTGATGTTGATGCTGTTGTTGCTTACAATCTGGAGAAATTATTATATTGTTGTTGTTCTGCTGTTGTTACAAACAGTAATGCTATTTGGTGTTTTGATGTTTTTTCCAATGTTGTTGTTGTTGTTGTTTCGATTGTTTATAGGTTTTTGTTCCACCAGTGGACTAAATGTTCTCTTGAATACATTTAATTAATTGTATTCGTGTACAAAGATGAACTGAATTGATTCAATGTTGTTGAACCTCTCGGTGACAGGTCTCTAAGATGATCTTCCACTATGGAAGGAAATGCACTCATTTCCTCAGAAGTTCATGGGTCAAGAAACTGCCTACTAAGAGGTTACTGATGTTTGTGGCTGTTTGTGGCTGTTGTTGTGGTTGTTTGCGGTTGTTGTTGGGGTTGTTTGTGGTTGTTGTTGTGGTTATTTGTGGCTATTTGTTGTTGGTGTTGTGGTTATTTGTTGTTGGTGATGTGGTTATTTGTGGTTGTTGGGATTATTTATGATTGATATTTATGATTGTGGATGTTATCCACTGTTGATGGTCGGTTTATAAGAATGGCTGGCTGATAAAATGTTGCCGTCTCACATTGATGTTGTTTTGTCTCATAGACTGCTGCTAGATTTTTTACGCGCTTATCATTATGATTGAATGTTAGTTTTTTGCTGTTTTTTGTAAGTGGCATGCGATCATTGTATAATTTGCCAGACTCTGTGAGACCGTATGTTGTTGCTTTTGTTGGCTGGCTGGGTGTGGGTGTGTGTGTGGATGGGTGTAGTTATTTAAATGAATTAGAGCTAATTTGATGATGCTGATGATGCGACAAATGCCTGCAGGTTCATGAGAGGAGATAGGTACGAGGTCTGTGCCGTCTGCCTTGAAGACTACTCCTTCTTTGATAAACTTCGAATACTACCCTGCTCACATGGTTGGCCTGGATGGATGGATGAGTTGATGGATGGATGGAAAAGTTGATGGATGGATGGACGGACGGGTGGATAATAGATGAATGAATGGAATTGGATGATGGATGAGTTAGAAAATAATGAGTTCTTTTGATGATTGAATAGTTATAATTACGAGAATTATAAATGAACTTATTAGTCGACTAAAAGTTTTTCATTCATTTTGGAACACATGACAAACTGTATCCTGTGAACTAATCGTATGCATGCGTAAAAGAGTGGTGTTGAACTTGGTGTTGAACAAGTCCGAAGAATGTTACTTCTGCATGGTTGTCTTAATAATATTCAAACTGTATATTCGTTACTTGTACACTTTAATAAATCTCTCCCGCCATCTCTCTCTCACTTTCTGCCTCTCTCACTCCCTTGCTATCTTCTAACTCACAGCTTTTCATCAGAAGTGCATTGACCCCTGGCTGACGCGCAACAAACAAACATGTCCACTGTGCAACAAGAGAGTTCGTTCGGTTGGAGATGGTGAAGATGCGGTGAGGAGTGGCGAGGAGAGATTCTCTGAACTGTCAGACGAGAGGACACCGCTGGTTGGAAGTTTGCTGGAAGGTCAGCTACTTTGATGCACTTTGAAAACTTTTGATGAGATGCTGTTTAATTTACTATGCTCAATTGTTAGTGCAATATGAGGGTTCTAATCAAATTTCCTTTAATGAAACTGAACAGAGGCAGATGTTCCCCGACCTATTCTTCAGAACATGGTTGACGTTGCAGACATATTGTCAGATCCAAACAGCAGGTCGAATGCAATTAGTAGCGGCAGGACACATGCGAATGGAAGGATTGAATCCACTGCTCAAGTTCATACATCCAACGTAAACTTCAATCAAGATATGGATGACAGGAGAGATATTGAGGACGAGGAAGAGGAGCGTAACAACGGTAACGGTGGTGATATTGGCAACAACAACAACAACAACAATATTAACGTAAATGTTGACAATGACATTAGCATTAGTATCGATAATAACGACGTCAGTGATTACGAAAGTGATAATAGAAATAATGATGATGATGATAATAATAATAATAATAATAATAATAATAATAATAATAATAATAATAATAATAATAATAATAGTGGCACGACACTCACTGGGGATGAGGTAAATGTTAGGCTTGAGAATAGTGATGGCGACATGGTGAGCGTCAGACTCGAGGGAAGTGACCACGTCCGTTTGTAAAAATAAAATAAACTTTCTCAATGTCATCTTCTGAAAGTCATCTGAATGTAAAAATGTCTCCACTCTCATCGTCTGATTGTTTAGAGTTTGTTTATACTGACAGTTTATCTTTCTCTCGATGCCTTTTTTAATGTAGATTTTACGCCATTGAAATTATGTCAACAGAGTTACTCGTTTTTTAGTTATTTTCTAAAAACTTTTTGGCGTTTTTTTTTTATTCCGATTTTGTCGAAGTTTACCTATTGCAAATTGTACCCGATTTAAATATTCACAACACCTGAAACTAAACTCTCAATATTTGATTCGTTATAAGAGAGTTGTAATCATGTTGTAAACTCACCCTGCTAGCTAAACATTTTGAGATTTTTATGACTTATTTTGACTCGACAGTCACGATGTCTTCAGTTTTATACAGATTGTTTTTATTTAATTATGTTTCCATTTTTATTTAGTAAATATTTCTAGTATGTTACCTTCAGTAATTCAATGGAAATCATCATGTATGATTCTTCTATGCCAGTTAAAATTGTGATCGTCGATATATATATATATATATATATGTGTATATATATACATATATATATATATATATATATATATATATATATATATATATATATATATATATGATGTTATTAAATATTGTAAAATTTGCCGTTTATAAGAAAATTGTTTGAATCAACTGTTTTCATTTCAATTAATTCATGGGAGTTGAATTTCGCACAATACGTTTTAGAATCAAACGACTAGAGTTAAATTAAAGATACATGGTTTTAGCCAAACTTGATAGGGTTAAATAGGTGTGCATACAAAATTAAAAATAATTTTGAGTGCCTAATCGCTTTGATTAACACATGAAATGATTATTGAAAGGTTGACAAATGCGGATACGTACCTACCCAATCGAATTGACTTTAAAATTAGATTTAACAAGTTGATCTAACTATGTAATCGCAGTTGTATTTTTATCGTAAATTTCACTAGTTGTTATGTTCAAGTCAAATTTTTATTTATGTGTGAAAATTTTGGTGTCATAATTTGGAAAAAACGGGTTTCTGTTTTTTGAGAATGGCGGTGGCAGCCTTTATCAAATCTTCACTCTGCAACAACGATTGGTTAAGGAGGGCCTGAAATGATTCAAGGTATTCGAACGTTATCAACAAATTCAATTAATATCGGTTTAAATATAAATAAGCTAAAAAAACAGAATTTTAAAATAAGTAATAAGTAAAACACATCAGAAATAAAATACTGACAATCTGGTTAAGAGAATCAGTCACGGAATGATCTCTTGCGTAGATCAGACCCAACTTGGTTCCTTGGACTGCTATCGGACTTTTCGACGCAATGACATTTGCTAGTTCAAAAGCTCCAGCTAGCAACTTTTCTTTATCAGGAAATATTTTGCTGGAGGGAAAAATTTGATGATGATTATTTTTAAATGAACAAATATTAATGTTAATTAATGTTAATATCAATATTAATCGGTCATTGAAAATATTCAATTCATTCAGTCATAACTTAGAAACAAGCAAATAAATGCAGTAACGAAAAATATCGAACATTTCGACAACGTACATTCAACACCAACCTAACAAAGCCAAACTCCTTTGCTTCGTCTGGCAGAAACTTGCGACCAGTGAAGCACAATTCTCTCACCAAACTTTCATTCCCAACAATTTTTGGAAGCCTCTGCAACGTTCCAACGTCAGCTGCCAGGCCAACATCAACCTCCTGTTGGTGCGAATGTGTATGTGTCGTCGACGCATGTGCGTTGGTTCACATAAGAGCCGCATTACGGTCATAAAATTGTGAACCTTGATTTGGAACCAGGCGTCCATAGAGCAGTACCTGACGTCAGAGGCACACACCATGTCAACCCCACCACCAATGCAGGCACCATGGACAGCCGATATTACTGGCTTTGTGCACTGTTTCGATAAGAGGGGTTAAGGTTACGGTTGGACCAAATATAATTAGCAGTTTTGTGTGGAGAGATGTCACTAATCTAATCTAGAGCATTGTTTTGTTACTGCCTATTTAGGTAACAATCAATTTATTGATGTCAGCTTTGGCTGGGTTATTCTTATTCTTAGCGTTTTTGTTAAAAAAAGAATTTTCGCTATTTATAGCCATCTTAAACATTGAGAATTTCAATGTAAGGTGGTAAATTTTCAATAAATCAAATGTTTGTTGATTATTTTTATGAAAAAGTACTTTGATCTACTTTTTCAATGACAGTAAAACTTTCTTGGAATGCCCTGATCATCTTTCCAAGGGCAAACGACTTCCTTCCTGGTTCCAAATCATTCAGTGAGAAGAAACTCAAGTCACTAAGGTCCAGACCTAATTTTAAGATGAATCATTAATCTGTGATTTAAAAAATTACTCGATAATTAAATAATTAACTCGTTAATTAGAAATACTTATTAAATCTCGAATGGAACACTTTGATGATAATACTGATGATGATGAAATGGTGATCCTGACAGAAATGACTTAATGGTAAAGTGACAATGGCGTACAAGATGATGATATAGAACACCAAAGACAGTTGTAGGGTATGGAAAAAACATTTAATTACAATAATGATGTATGGTAATAGTGACATAAGAGGATAATGACGATGGCAACGACGACGAAGATGAATATGACGATGATGGTGGCACAAAGAATAATAATGATAATAATGATAATAATAATAATAATGAAGATGTTGATGACATAGATGATAACAAACATGAATGTGTAATAAGTAGAAACCCTAAGAAGTAATGAAGACCTGATGAAAAATGTTTGCCAGATCCAGATAGTACAACTGATCTGCAGTCAGGGTCATTGTTCAGTTCACTGAAACATGCCCTCATGTCTCTACAAAATTCAAAGAGATTTAAAATATTGAAATATTATCCGCAGGTTAATTTTTTAATAACCATAGACAAGATGGTAATTTAGATTGGAAAATTTATATAAATGAATGTGATACTACAACTATTTGAATGCTTTCACAATTTCTAATTTACTACTAATACTACAGCTACTGATAATAATAATAAAAGTAAAAATTATAAATATGCTTCAAATAATAATAATATTATTATTGTTAATATTAGTAAGAGAAGATATTTATTTTACAAGTAACATTTGAACACTGTTATAAAAGTGTATGATGACACAAATTTGTAAAATGTAAGTTATAAATAAATAATTTTACTTGAAAATGTGCTGTTATAACAATCTACTTTTAACTAAACTAAACGGTTGTTATTTGTCACACGATACAGATTAAAAAATAATGTTGTAGGTGGTGTTGAAAACATGATCAAATTATAATAAAGAATACAAAAAACATAAAAAAAAGTTGGAATAACTCTTGAAATTGAACATTCATAGCATTTCTTGATTCAGGTCTGTTGATCTCGACAAGGAAGACATAGTTGGTGAGATTTGATACTTTCAATGTTTCATAATTGTATTTGTTGCTCTTTGTGACTGATGTTGCAGCTGCTGCAGAACACATCTTTCTGCTTATTTGCAAGAAATTCTGAAAAACTAATTACAATAGTAAAATGAATCATAATGTAATGTTGTAATCTGAATTGTACTTTGAAAATAGGCTAGAATTCAATGCAAAACTGAACCAAAACTAACATAAATTCAAAAAAAACTATACACATTATAAATAAAACAAACACAAGAGCACTGAGGACTGAGTAGATTCTACTTCCTATATTATATAAAAAAAAATTAAGTCTTTCTAAAAAAGTCTAAAACAATAAAAATAAAAGTGAGGCAAAACTAATTCTAAACTAAATCTACTAAACTAAAGTCTAATGCTAATATTTTAAACTTAATAAAGAAACTAACAACAAAGTCATAAAATAGGCAAATCAAACTGAAGACCAATTTTAAAATTATGACAACTTTTTTCATCAACTTTGCATTTTCAATCAAATATTCATCTATAAATTAATGCCAACAACAACTCACCTAACTTGTTCATTTATATGAAATTTGAAAGTTTAAAATGTGAATACACAAAATTTAAAAAAAACCAAGTTGAGACGAGTTCGATATGTTATGTTCGATTTAAACACTTTAACATTCTAAAGGTGTAGAATTAATACTAATAACTAAAGTATGCATTTATTTATGCAAATTTGTGATTAACACAGAGTTATGTATGTTTTATTAAATTTTTTTATATATAAGTGACCTAGGTGGCTGCTATTCTTTCATTATTCCGAGATTTGCTGACGGCCAGTAGGAAACACTGGATGTATATATAAACCCTATCCATGTTCCAGCCCTTAAAGCGTGTTTTTTAAAATTGTATATTAATATGTGTGTATAGGACGTTGACCAAGAATGTTTCTAATTTGGATATGTGATATAAAGATGAATGTTTAATATATATATATATATATATATATATATATATATATATATATATATATATAATTAATAATATATTATATATATATATATATATAATTACATAAACTATTAAATATATAAATTCATATCCAAAATATTATTTATAAATTCATTCTTTTATTTGTCTAATTCAATGTTGTTTTCATCGTTTTATTATTGACGAAGATTATATATAAATCACCTTTCGAAAAGTACATGAACGAATTATTGTTCTAAGTTTTCAACCTAAAATCTAACTATAACCGATGATGAAACAATAAAAATAAGACATGTTAATAGTTTGATAGATATGATATGAAAGACATTTTGTCATGTGGAAGATTCAAGCGTAAACATACATACACGCAAACATTTTTTGTGTACTCACACACACACACACACACACACACACACATATACACACACAACACACAAACACAAAAGGTTCACGTGCAATTTATTATTTCAAACAAAATATTTCACTTTGAGCGAAAGATACGATCATTAATTAAATGAACCATTCTTTGACATAATTTTCACAAATTGGTTTGTCCCTCAGTAGAGACTGGCTCAACTCCGGTACGTGTCTGACATGGACATTGCTGGTGACCACTGAACTTGTTTTGGGGTTGTACCTTAATTCAGGAACCAGTTGGTCCAACGTTTCGTTCTCTTTCACCTTTGTCTGAGAACATTTTCTTATGGCGTATATCAAAACGAGAACGAGAATAATGAAACTTATGGAAATTCCAACTGTGAGGATGATGTTAGTGAAAATGGAGGAAATTACGTAATCAGGATTGTCCAGGTAGTAGTTTCGATAGGATGTGTCGTTCAAGAAGTTGTCGTAGATGGCGTACTCGTTATTTTTGTCGTTATACCGGACATGGTAGTTGTTTTGCTGATGAAAATGTTTGTCATGATGAGCATTCTTCAACTGATCAAACTTGTAGACGGTGCCGAAAAGAGGAAGTTCTTTCAGTGATGTGTTGTCTGAATATTTCTTTGGAACATTTGAACTTGTTTCGATAGAACCGTCGATTGCAGGTTTTGGATTGTAGTTGAGAGGATTGGGAGAGGTTTGGCCGGTAAGGCATGAAACACTTGTACACTCGAAACCGACATCTGTAACTTCCGGAAAGTCCAATTTGCTTACAGTTTCAAACATCCTGGTTATAGTTATTTGAAAAAATTTGATTAAACTTTTGACAGATTTTTACATTTTGGTCTATTGGTTATTCAAACTATAACCTACAAACAATAATAATTGTCTGCCACCTGTTGATCTCAATGGTGGGACGAATGAAGGAGTCGTCATCTTCGTAGCTGTCCACGTTGCACGAATCCAGCAGATGCTTGTCATACACTGGACACTGAGATGGGTCGTGCTTCGCTTTTATCAGCTCATCTTGCCGTGGTTTCGTAAACTGTTTTATTGAAATAATTTTTATAAAAATTTCACCTCATTTCGTGTTTTGGTAAAATTGTTCATTATTATGGCGTTGTTAAATGTATTCAAAAGTTAAGTCGATTATTTACTACTTGTCAAAAAAATGTTTCCGTGCCTGTTAACTGGCTGACCAACCAATCAATTAAACTACCAATCAGTTAGCTGATCAACCAACCGGCCAATCAGCAACAGACCTTGTTGCTAACGCTTGGATAGATTACTTTCTTTGGTCTTCTGGTGGTCACTGTCAACCAGTGGCTTGAGTCGCTACCATCGTGACTGTAACTTTTAAACATCAAATTCATTAAATTGATCAGTTTTTGTAGTATAGTCATTTAAAGTTGGTTTAAAGGGTTTTCAATGATCAATGTAATACTGTATTAAACTACTCCTAAAGAAACAAGTAGAATGTTAAAAATCAGTAAGCAGTTTATTAAGAAAAACAATTTGACCAATAATTTTTGAAAATACATACAATACGTAAAACCAACTTCAGTCTGTTGAAATTATTTTTCAAGTAGACGTTCCCAATGGCGCTGCTCCGATTCTGGTTAACTGGATCGAAAACTAGCAATCCGTTCACGTACAAACCTTAGTGGTATTTGAACAGTTAATGGCCAACATATAAAAACGTCCGACAATTTTATTAATCACTAAACACTAATAAAATTATTTAAGCATTCTTGAAGAAATTTGTATAAATTTGTATTTCTGTAAGTGTATAGAGTGTGCCGAAAAAAAATTAAAATTGCGGTAGGCTTTCACTGAACGATGGAACCTGCTATGATCCCCGAGAAAGTTGATGCGAATCTTGGGTCCAACTGGTGACCTGCTATGATCATTGCCTGGTTTCTGAACAGTCCTGGCTTGTGAGATTCTTTTGAAATGATTAAAGTGCAAAACCATTAGATTGTTTGCAGACTGAACTTTAACAATATAAACATGTTTCCGTGATTATTTATTTTAACAATTACAAAATGGCAATCGTACTTCGAGTTTCAAATGCTTCTCAAAAATTCAACGCATATTGACACGAGCTTACTTAAGAATACATGCTAATATTAAGTAATAGCTCATCCAAAAGGAACACTTTAGTGATTAATCATTGAAATATTCATACCAACCAGATCGATTTTGAAATATTTTCGGTTTGGTGTCGACCTGCAAACTCAGCGAGGACCCGATCCTCTGGTAGCGAACGATGTGGTAGGAACCATCAGACAGCAGAGACTTGCTCCGAACGGTAGACTCCTTCTTTTCCAGGGACACCTCCACGTTCAACGAGCCATTTTGCTGGAATTTTCAGTCAATTTTGCTCAACATAACAAATTATTAAATTTGAATTTTATTTCGACTACAAAAATTTAAAACACAAAACAAAGAGTTTAACTGAAAAGTTATAAAAGCGATTTGAAAATTTACAAATATTATATTTCAAATCATTCAGCACTTACAAGGTAGAAAATTGTGAAATCGTTGCTCGTATCTCCCCTAATGGACAGAAAGGTTACATTCATCTTGCTGGTGATCAGACCGAATACCACGGTGTCAATGAACGTGTTGGGTTTGGTGTTTTGCGGGTAGAGGTACATGAAAATTGATTTGGGAGTGAACTCGTACGCTAGGCTATCTGTTGTGCAAGAATGTGTGAGTGTGAGTCTGTGTGAGTGAGTGGGAGTTTGTGTGTGAGTATGTTGTTTTGTGTGTATGCCTTTGTTGTCTTTTTAACTTTGACTTTTCACAAACAAAACCTAGTGTGCAATAATCGTGATGAGTAGAAAAAAAAAAGAGTTGACCGACCATCGTCACAAAGGGTGCCTGTGAGTGAGGTCATGGTACAGTTGCAGAGGACTTCGGCAGAGGAAGGACTGTTGGCGCATGTTCCACCGTTCTTGCAAGGGCATTCATCTTTGGCTTCCATGTTTTCTGTTGTTGGGTCACGTTCAATTTGCATGTCTTAAGAGGATATTAAACATAACAGCGAGCACGATTTTGTATATTATTATTATTATTATTGTTGTTGTTTTTATTGTTGTTACTATTATTATATAAACTATTTAATTTGTTGTAAATTAATTTCATTTTTTACAACATCAACAAAAAATATTTAGATGCAACAACACATTTTGTGATAAGTTTTGTTAAAATGATTTACGTGATAATACATATTCTGTGGACAATTTTATTGATGAAAACGAGATTAATCTTGAAATGACTGAATCAATTTACCATTTAATGCGTTTGGCAAACTTTCTGGTTTTGAAATTTTATCACTTTATTTACCAGAAAGTTTATATGATGAAACATTATAAAGTTATTTCTTTACGTTAAACAGTCTGGCAGATGTTAGATTAGACACTTAATTTATATTTTCTATTGAACTCAAGCTGGCCACGATATAGCAGCAACCGTCTGAAGAATGCAAGCAGAATCACGCATATCAATTCGACTTCAACAACTTTAATGGCTTCAAACAAAACAACAGCAACTACAGTAACATCAACAACAACAATAACCACTATCACAGATCCGATGAAAAATACCACACAATCAACAAAAGCAACAACGTAGGCAACAACAACAACGACAAAGACAACAAACTTCAAAAACACAAGTCTTTACGACGTAACAAATTCAACAGAAAAAAACACAAAAGTGAGAAACAACAACCTCATCCTCATCAACAACAACAACAACATCAACAACAGCAGCAACAACAAGACGCTAATAACAAAGCCAATTTGTCAGATGCTTCTCAACGCATCCCGCCGTCATGTTAGCCATTTTTAATTGGCGGCAAATTTGCATACTTGTGCTAAACGAACATCAGGCATGCGGTATCCAAGTTACGCAATGAAGGCGCAAAGGAATTTCTTCAGTGGTATCATTATTACACGTGCGTGCGTGAATGAGTCTGCTTGTTTGTTTGCGTGTGCTTCTGTATATGTGCTTGCATGTTTGCATACACATGTGTGTGTTGTTTGCTTGCGTACGCTTGTGGATATTGTTATTATTACGGTTGTAAGTGTGCTAAGCTAACTTGTTTAAAAGTCTAATGTGTTTCTGTTGGATATGTTGTTTAATGTTTGTGTTAGCTATGTCCGTCAGAGATTCTGCTAACGTACGTTCGTTAGTTTGCTTGCTTGTTTGAACGAGTTGACTAACTCATGTTCACGTTTTTAAAGAAGCTCAATGCACAGATGCATGTTTTATATGTGTGCGTGCATACATCTTCATGCAAAAAAATTGATTTGAATTTATGTATGCGGGCGTATGTATGTCATTATTCAGTCGGTGTGTCTGCTTCAAACGAAAGTGTTTTCACTCAGCTCTACTTGCGTAAGCTTGCTTTTGTAAATGTGATTTTAATTTAAAGTTTTCTTTTATTGGTTGTATGTCCTTGCGTGCGTGTGTGCGTGTCGATTGTGTTAGTACACAAATGATTTTTAAATGATTTATGCTTTCGCTGATTAATTGAAGTCAGGTTAATGTGGAAACTATAATGAGTCGTGTGCTGTGTGTGTGTGTGGTTGGTTGTGTGGCGTGTGTGGTTGAGTGTGTGTGTTTTGGTGCGTGTATATGGTGTGTGTGTGTGGTTGAGTGTTTGTGTGTGTGTGTACGTTTGTTGGTGTGTGTTGTGTGTTGCGTGTGTGTGTAGGATGTGTATACGTGTGTTGGTGTAGTAAGTACGTGTGTTGGTGTGTGTACGAGTGTTGGTGTGTGTTGTGTGAAATGTATGGAAGACCAGTGCAATTTGCAATAATTATATTTTGCTAATTTGACGAGCGTGTATCGGATTGCTTTTTATGGTTGGTTCAGCGTTTCAGCTTTGCATTTGGAAAAATTTTTTTGTTGCAGTTTACATCATTTAATTCATTTGTGTTAATAGTTAAGAAACGTTGCTGTTAATAACCAAAATTTGATTTTTGTTTTTATAATTTTTGTTTAAATTTCTATTATATTATTGTTATTCTACTTTTATTATCGATCATTTTTCTACTTTTGACATTGTTGCGGTTACAATGTTTTTACTTTCTTTAAACTAAAGATGCTCCTTTTACTGAAATTGCTCCATCATCATAGTTCTATTTTGGGCCATTTATCGCTTCATTGGTAATATTTGTTTGACGGTGCCAAGGGAAATAGGGATGGGCGTATATTGAAGAGTGCAGTTGACAATTATTTAAATTTATTTATTTAAAAATAAAACTTAAAAATAAAACTTTAAAAATAACAAGTCCGCATCGATATACGTATATTATTATTACATTTTTATCTGCAAAGTATGCATGCGAAATATATAATTGTTATATATAACATTCAGTGGTAGCCAAATTTAATTTCCTAAAAGTTACTCCAAGAAGTTGAACCTAGTAAAAAGCGACATAATTCTCCCCACAAACTAATTTATATATACACACACATTTCACTAACATAAAGGAACGCAGTCATCACATGAACATACCTCCACACCTCTCCACTACAAACTCATGAAAATCCTCCTTAATCTCGATGCTGGCCTTCAAGCTGGGCCACGTATCTCCCACAACGTCTACAGAAAACATGCATCCTTGGTATCCATCCCTCGATTGCACCTCTTCCGGTATGGTTCCGTACATCCGGCCTGGAATTCCCCCGAAATAAATGACACTTTCGGTTTCGACTTCCGGCAAAATAGGGATGTTCGTGTGATTGGAGATGGAGGTTGTGGTGTCCACTCTGAGGACGTTATGGTGGGGTCTCGGCCTCTGGATGGTTACCTCGTGGATGTCGTTGTCGCTGACGTTCAGCGGAGGCTTCAGGTCGTCCACCAGAACGTGCACCACGTTGTCCATCTTGTACAGGTATCTTGTGATTGTTGTACAAGTATCTTGTGATTGTTGTACAGATATCTTGTGATTGTTTTACAAGTATCTTGTGATAGTTGTACAGGTATCTTGTGATTGTTGTACATGTATCTTGTAATTGTTGTACAGGTATCTTGTGATTGTTGTACAAGTATCTTGTAATTGTTGTATGTGTACATGTATTTTGTGATTGTTTTACAGGTATCTTGTGATTGTTGTACAGGTATCTTGTAATTGTTGTACATGTATTTTTGTGATTGTCGTATGTGTACCAGTACATGTATTTTGTGATTGTTGTACAGGTATCTTGTTACTGTTGTGCAGGTCTCTTAAATTGTTGTATGTGTACATGTATTTTGTAATTGTTGTACAGGTATCTTGTGATTGTTTTGCAGGTATCTTGTGATTGTTGTACAGGTATCTTGTGATTGTTGTACATGTATTTTTGTGATTGTCGTATGTGTACATGTATTTTGTGATTGTTGTACAGGTATCTTGTTACTGTTGTGCAGGTCTCTTAAATTGTTGTACAGGTATCTTGTGATTATTGTACAGATATCTTGTGATTGTTGTACAAGTATCTTGTAATTGTTGTATATGTATTTTTGTGATTGTCGTATGTGTACATGTATTTTGTTATTGTTGTACAGGTATCTTGTGATTGTTGTACAGGTACCTTATAATTGTTGTACATGAATCTTATATTTGTTTGTATGTGTATGCTGTGGGCGTATGCATCGTGTGTGTGTTTGTATTTATGTTTCTCCGAAGAATTTCCTGTTCTCACATCTGCTTATTTCTGTTGTCCTGCGTTAACCAGAAGAACTACCAATGTTTGAAACATAACTTCATCCAAGAATAAGACAGTTGTTAAAAGTTATCAATTTTAACGAAACAAAGTTATAAAAAGTTTATCCCCGTTCTCAACTATTGAAAAACATAAAACGCTGTAACTTCAGACTTGTTGTTTATATAGTTAACATTGTAATCATCACCGTCACCATCACTAATCACTAACCTCAGTTTGCTGTTGAACAATTCGAGACAAAAGATGAAGGCGTCAGAATTGTTCATGGCGTACAACATCATGCCATCTTTTAAGGTCGTCTTCATCTTCAATCAATCAATCAGTCAGTCAGTCAGTCATCAGTCAGTCAGTCAGTCAATCAGTCAGTCAGTCAGTCAGTCAGTCAGTCAGTCAGTCAGTCAGTCAGTCAGTCAGTCAGTCAGTCAGTCAGTCAGTCAGTCAGTCAGTCAGTCAGTCAGTCAGTCAGTCAGTCAGTCAGTCATCAGTCAGTCAGTCATCAGTCAGTCAGTCAGTCAGTCAGTCAGTCAGTCAGTCAGTCAGTCAGTCAGTCAGTCAGTCAGTCAGTCAGTCAGTCAGTCAGTCAGTCAGTCAGTCAGTCAGTCAGTCAGTCAGTCAGTCAGTCAGTCAGTCAGTCAGTCAGTCAGTCAGTCAGTCAGTCAGTCAGTCAGTCAGTCAGTCAGTCAGTCAGTCAGTCAGTCAACCAACCAACCAACCAATTAACCGGTCAATTTTTTTTAATCAAGCATTTAATTATTTTTGCGACGCCTGACGTTTAATTAAGGTGCCTGACGTCGATGTTGCAGTACCTGGATTTGAATGCAGAGACATCCCTGCCTGCAACAGGCGATGTATTTGATGCGTTGAATCTTGCCGAAACAACAATTTGAATAGAAAATCGCTTTTTTTAAAATAATAATGAATGTAAAAAACCAACTTGGAAATAAATGCTGAAGTCGTTGGGCAGGGTGGTCCTAATGGTGAAGTAGGAGGGTCTGGTCCTGAACTGGATGGGGTGGAGTTTGTTGTAGGGCTGCTGAGCTGGGTGGGATGGGAGATGTTCAAGATGTTGGGGGTGGTGGTGGTGGTGGGAAGAGGGTGGTTGTGGGAAAAGATGATGATCGTTCATTCTTTTCAATGGTGATTCTGTCAAAAATAAAAATAACTATGTATCAGTTTTACTTCAAACAGCTAAAACAAGTTGAATCATAATATTGTTTTGTGAAACGGTTGAGACGGGCAATTCCTGTTTATGAGTTTAAAAACTACTTAAATTGGTGCAGCCAGTATTTAAATGTTCAGTCCAACGATGGACCGTGAATGAATCCAAGAGAACATTTTTTTCACCAATCGTTTTATTGGTTTAATGTGTATCGATTGATACAAGCATAGGAGTGCATGACAAATTTCTTGTGTTTGTGGAAAATTTATCGAAGGACCTTCGTCAATTAACTTTTAATGATGCTGGCAGGTTGAATCAGCCTACAAATGTGTTACGTCTGAAAGTTTTGATCTGGTTTGGTTGATGCGTGCGTGTGATGCGGTGCTTGCGTATGTTGAAATGTTTTCCGTGTTGGCTTCTGTTGGTTTACTAGCACGGTCGGTAACCAAATACCCTCCAACTTAAACATATACAAACCACATACGCATACATTAACATACACATTGCTCACAAATGTGATTGCAAGCACACATTTAAAAAAACACACACGCACAAGCAAATACGCACGCAACGACAAAACGAAGAATTAATTAGAGTACACGGGACTACAATCTTGCTACTGAAAAGACAACAACGACATCACATTATTTCCTTTTCCGCCAAACATACGTAAGGAACAACTCAGAAGCGTTTCGCTCCAAACAACTGGCGCTCCTTAATTAAAATACTCCATGCATAACTTTAGGGACGCTTTAGATGACGTGCGTTTGTGTGGTTGTGTGTGTGTGTGTATAATTGTGTGTGTGTGTGGTTTTGTGTGTGTGTGGTTTTGTGTGAATGTGTGTGTGTGTGGTTGTGTGTGTGTGTGGGTGTGTGAGTGAGTGTCTGCGTTTTTTTTGAGAGAGTGCATGTAAAATCATTTTTCTGTGTGGGTGTTGTGTTGTTGTGTTTGTGTGTGTAGTGTGTGTGTGTGTGTGTATGTGTGTGTATGTGTGTGTATGTATGTGTGTGTGTGTGTGTGTGTGTGTGTACAAAGTGATGTACTTTTGCATTCTCTAATATTTGTACATAATACTGAAGTGTCATTCAAAAAAGAATTTTTTATATAAGTCTTATGTATTTATTATTCCATAGTGTTATCATCATGACTATTTTAATAATTATAACAATAATAATAATAATAATAATAATTTTTATTATAACAATTTTTATTTATAATTTCAATTGAAAATCTTCTGCGTTAAAATCCTGACATAAGATGTCACTCAACCTCTAAGAAATCCTCTTCTCGGTGCTTCACACTGATGAAAAACACGAAAACATACAAACATACATACATGCGTACAAACAAACAAACAAACTTATACACACACCAACAAACACGTGTATGGCTACAATTACATGTACATACAAACACAGAAACATACACACATACATACAAGCAAACATGAGTATACAAACAGATATATACCCATGCAAACACACAAACATATATAAAGATATACACACTATAAACAGTCATGTACCCTTATAAAAACATACACATGCAAACAAATATGTACACATACGAGCGAATGTGTACACACACACACAGATTAATATACAGAAATACATTAAAAACTTATAAAATCCAAAAACAATGCAAAATATCCTATTCGAAATTCACACTAACATGAAAGTAAGATTAAGAATGTTAAAAATGAATCAAACCTGGATTTGTAAGCAAAATGTAGTTATGTTTGATAAAAGTTTATTAAGAAAGCAAATTAAGTATGACTCACCAATGAATACATCATCAGGAGAGCATTATCATAATTTCAGTTTTGATTAAAAAAAAACACTGAGGTTTCAAATAAAATTATCAAAGATTCAAAATAAACATCATTCGAACGTCAAACAATCAAACGACGAAGCAAAAATTTTGCGAAAAAACTTTAAAAGTTCTAAGTCGGCAAGTCAAGCAAATACATCATAATCAAGCGCTGACCCGGGCTGACCTTTCGTATGAAACATTGCTTGGCTTCGTTGCTAGCTTCCTCCTCCTCCGCGAACGCGCCGCGCAATCATTCAGTCGTTCCGCGTGCGGTTGTCGTAATTACGCTTGCGTGCGTGCGTGCTTGCGTGTGGCTGGTGGGCTGTCGCAAACGTTTCGCAGGTTTCGGATTGTGCCGTTGGTGCATTTATTGTTGGCGCTGTAACCGCTGAGATCAATTTGTTCATTCGCAATTTTTATTTTGGAGGACTTTGCTGAATGTTAGTGCAAGGAAAGAAGTGCATTCTCATACAAGCATCAGTTGGTTAAAATTTGTTTCTTTTTTAAGGGATCCGTTTTTGTAAGTTATAACTTTCTTATAAAAATATCGAATAGGTTGAAGTCATCCACCTGGTTTTTGAGGTATTAACATTTGTTGGTGTGTCTTTATTGAGTGCTCTAAATGTACGTACATGTATGATACATTTTCACACAAGTCCACATGTGATAGGAGTGTATAATCAGACGAGAGATTCGGTGGAATATTAAGGAGGAAGGCAAATAAAACTGTCGCATATAACATGCGGCATAATGTGATAAGTCTCTGACCTCATGTACTTCGGGCTAGCACTCTATGCATTCACGTTGATTGGTCCATACTTTTCCATGTATGTATGTATGTTTATTTGTTTGTATGTATGTATGAATCTATGTATGTATGTATGTATATGTGTGTGTGTGCGCGCGCGTGTGTGTATGTATGTGCATACATGGGTATATGTATTTGTATGTGTGTGGTATGTGTGTTTGCACCGCCGCACTCAACCGTCCACACAAGTAAAAATATAAAACCTGCAAAAGGTAAGACAGGTCTGCAAATGAATGGGAATGAACTAAGTTACACGTGCATGTAGAGTAGGCATGGGATGATTGTTATAATAGTTATGACAATTTGTGCTGTTGTCCTCTATCCTATTTCGAAAAATGTTTCAATCCGCAGTTGTTAAAGTTATCACCAACTGTCATTTTTAATTTTTTTTAATTTGTTCGGGATAGTTATTCAACTAATTAAGTCAGCCTATTTGCCAACAAGCAACCATCTAATCAATCAATGATTTAGTCTTGATATTAATCAATCAATCAGTCGGTCGGTCGGTCGTTTGGTCGGTGGGTCGGTCGGTCGGTCAGTCAGTCCGTCAGTCAATCGATCAATCAATCGATTAATCAATCAAACATTTAAACAATCAATCAATCAATTAATCATCAATCAATCAATCAAAAAATCAGAACGAAACATGAAACCAGCCAGCCTTCCTAGCTATCCATTATATTCACTCCGCCAATCGAGCAAACATCCACAATATTACGAACATTAAGTCACACACAATTACATACTACATACACCTCAAAATTTTAAGCGGTAGCTCATACGTTTATGCACGTACAAATACTAACCTAGGTGCACAATAAACTTATAATATACAATAATAAACACAGAATCACAAAAATCCGCATACACAGGCATATCAATAAACTACAAATGCACACACACACACATTAAAATGTAGGTACTTCATGCACAAAACAATACAAAAACATGCGCAATAATACACACACATAAGAACGACAAAAACCACACGCCCAAACCATAAAAATTCAAAACCGCAGACGCACGCACGCAGACAAACACGCACGGTTCCACTTTAACAAACACAGGACAGTTACGTTTGTGTAGATATGAATGCTAAACAGATGATGACAATCTTCTAATGGTAGGGCAAATAAGCCATCCTCATCACCACCACCACAGTCGTTTCATCATCATCTTCATTTTATATTCAACATCATTGTTTTATGTCATCGTCATCATGATCATCGTCATCATCATCATCATGATGGTCATCATCATTGTCGTCAAAATCGTAATTTCATTTCACACCGCCATCTTATTTCGTCATCATCATCGTTGCTGTTGTTTTCTATGACTTCAGTTAAAATACTTTCGAGGCGACATCTCCTAAAATTGGATGACTTCCTTTCGCAAATCCACTATATCCCCCATTGTTGATATTTATCGTGCGCACAATTCACACAACTCAAAGAAACGTTCGTAAAAATGTTCAGAACTAGAAAAATTTGTTAAAAATTAAAGATTTATCTAACAATATATTTAGGATCGATGTATGGTTCATTAGCAGGTTCATTGAAGTTTGTAGGGGGCATGAATTGGTTTGACTTTCGGTTGGCTTAGGGACTTTAAAACGTGCCCTGGGACAATTCCTTATTCGCGGTCCTTGATTGAAATTTTAATGGCTGGCACCCTCTCACAGAATCCTCTAATTTATTTTGATCGTCTCAAGTGTAATGTTCTCAAAAACAACCTTATACTTTAACTCATCTTTAATTAATAAATGCAACAAATCGTAAAACTTTAATTAGATAATAAGAACAAAAATATTTCTTTTATGTTCTATATTATTTTTAATTTTTATTGTTATTCACAAATTTTATTTAAAGTAACTATTTTCTTTATAGAAGTACTTGAAACTGCCCTCTTTTAAAATGGCAAACCCGAGTTTTTGCCCGGGTTTGCCCCCTCCCACCTCCTCCTACAAAGCAACCGTTGCTCTTGCCGAGTTGGTGTATATGAATGATGAATTCTAATTGAAATTTGTTATAAAATATTATAACGCTGATGATTTTTTATTAAGTTTGCATCTGGTTTTGTAATTTAAACTAATTGAAAAGCAGTTCACGGGTTTCATAGAAAATGAGAATATACCTTTAGAATTTAAATGTTGACTTTAGAATTTTATAAAAACGTTTGAAATTTAAGAAAGTTTCATTAAATTTGAAATACGAAGTTCTAAACTTGGAAAATTTTGAGAAAAACTCTGAAAAATTTGTACTTACCTACATCAGGATAACGAGGCGTTGAACAATGAATAATTCTTGGAAGAGACTTATTGCAATTTTTTAATTGTTCGCAATAAAAAAATGTCGAAAATAATTATTTAATGCAATTATTAATAAAAATAATTTTAACAATAACTAAACTGATACACTTTAGTAATCCATTTTACTTCGTTTTTATCATTTTCAATTTGAGGACTGTTAAAATCATTAAATGTTATTTGTCTTGGTTACCAGCTGAACTTTCGAAATTAGTGAAATTGTAGCAGCCTAGTAGGCTTTGGAGAAAAAGTAACCAACCAACTAACTAACTAATTAACTAACTGAACAAATAAAAAATAAAATAAATAAATACCTCTCTGAATCCGACGGTGATGATAACGATGGTCTGACCTGACGATGACGTCACTGAAAACCAACATGACCATGATGGTCAACATTTCAATTTTATCCTTCTTCACATAGGTCATTTTGTTAATGGAAAAAATTATTTTAAGTGAATGTTGGATGATAAGAAATAATAATTTTTTTTGATTACTCAGTCAGTTCAACGCTTTCAAACGGTACCCTTCAAATATTTTCTTGCCGTACTTTCACACATGTACACGCAAAACTGTTTGATTTTTACTGAATTCTTGTACTGACATATACACAATACACAATACATATAGGTGCCATATACATACATCCATGTACGTACAGTACACAGAAGATGTGCCTAAGAACAAATATGCATAGAGATGCGGACATTTACACACATACAACACGCACACACAAACACACGCATACACACTCACACATATATATATATTTAAATATTATACAAAATTCTTTTAATTTATATGCGTGCGTCAGTGCTTGCATTTCGACAAATTTTTTTTCTTTTTTATAAGCGACATCGTGGGAGTTTGTTAGTTGCAAGAAAGATGGACTGAGCGAACGTAATTGAGAAATTTCATTCATTCGCTTATTTGTCACATATTTCAGTGTTTCATCATTGGATACGTCCTACCAAACACTCAATAAACAACTCACACCAGCTAGGTAGTTAGCAATCCTACTTACGTGTCATTCTTCAAATATAAATAACAACAACGTACGACAAATCAATTTTCTCGTGAATGTATTTCTAATCTTCAAAGGTAAACACCATCGCCAATGCACAGAGGCCATGTTTTCAGCGACGGAAAATGAGATGCATAAGAGGGTTTTAATAAAAACTTTGTAAGAAAGAAATAACGAAAGGTAACAAATACAATTATACGCAAATTAATTTACAACACATCTCAAAAACTACATTAATACATTAACTCACAAGAAGCGCAACAACAAAAACATTCACAACTCCTATATGCTAATTTAACAGCAGAAACAATTATCCCACACACACTCACTCATACCGTACACACACACTCAGAGGCCCACAGGCGCACACAGACACACTCAAACACACACACACACACACAGGCATACACTCAGGCACACACACACAAACAAACAAACGCACACACATCTGCATACGAACGCAGGCAAGCAAGCTTAATAACGCACGTGTGTATGCGTAAAGTTACGAACGAACAACTGTTGTTAAGACAGTGCAGAATGCGCGAGTTCATTCATGTGTAAAAGGTTGCAAGTCATGCGTTATGAACAATGCTTGCAAGCTGGCTTGTTGTTAGTTAGTTAGCGGCTTGTAGATATTATCATGTGTTACTTGTTCACTGAATGTACAGTTATTAACTGTTACGTATGCTTGCATCTGTGTGTGTAAGTTTGTTTGTGTGTGCGCGTGTGTTTTGCGGATGTGAATAGGATTATGAGTGTGTGCAATTAGTTATTATTATCTGTATATGCTAACCTACTCGTTAAAATATATAAACGAATTTAATTTTTTGCTCTCTTGGCTTCAATTGTTAAGTTTTAAAAATTTTCTTCGTTGAATGCTAGCGTAAATAATATTTGCGTTTTTAAATTTCCATTGATAAAATTATAATATCACCATTGATAAGGAGAATAACATTTCCGACGGTAACCTAACTTCCAAAATACCCCCAAATTTCACCACCTAATCGGATTCCGAACCCCAGGACCAGTTCGAAACACCACTGCTAGTTGTCTTTATAAAGAAGCAAACTAATTTTATTTTAAACCAATTTTCAATTTGATTGATTCTGACCGAGACTAAACATTTCTGAGTTTTATCCTTGTTTTCATTTTACATAAAATTTCAATTTGTTTAAAATCTTGCCCATTATATGAATGTATATTTGTTTAGGTGGTTTTGGATATTTTTGCATGCTTTCCACTGAGTAATCCGATTCGTTCTCTGTTTTGTCTGTGTTGATGTGGATGTATTTCTGTGTTGCATTTATATTTGCATTCGCGATTAAACTGTGTTGCTTGTTTGTGCACAATTTTAATTTTTTTTAAATCAAACAAGAGACAACAACTCAATCACTAAGCAGAGACTATACATACACATACATCGCAAACTGCAGCAGATTACACTAACAGTCTGCTAAAGTGCTAAAGTATAGAAAGAAGACTTAACATAAAAAACACCTCACATGTGTACAATACATTTCTTGAATTCTTCAATTTCCGACAGAGTTCTAAAGCACAAACTGAACAATGAAAATATTGAAAATTAAAATTTCAACTATTTTCAACAACTACTTTTTAATCGTTGCAGTCTTTCAGTAAACGACCAATTGATATCAATATAAACACCAGACATTTAAACCACACACTCAAACACACACACACACTAATTTTTACATAAACACACACACACACGTACACACGTATAGATAAAATTAAAATATAAAAAGCTTATGACGACACATCATGTATAATACATCAGACTTAATACTATGTAGTTAGGTTACATTGAAATATAGACTTATAGACAGTACGGCAGGAAGCCCATACTACAAACATTACACACACGCTCAACTGCTCAGGTATGATTGCGTGTTAAACGTGTTAAACTTTTAGCCTGGCTTTTTCATAAGCTGTTCGTTCAAAATGCGACTTTTACGTGCGCTGTACACATGCCTTTGCGTGAAAGTTGCTCGCCATGGTACAAAACTTCACGTACGTGTGTGCTTCGACCAGTGCAACTATTTAAAAAGACATTAAGGAATAATTTGAATTCTGCAGTATAATAAGTGTGGTAGAATTTGAGCGGGTATTCAATCGCTCGTCAGGCTCATGTTACTTCGTCTCAATTAACATTCACTGGTCTGATAGGTGCTGATAATATATTTAATTATAATTTTAATATTTGTTTGATAAATTGATTGAGTCATAAATTTCAAAAGTTTATATAGCAGCTGACAGCTAACAAACGAAGTGTATATTTAACGCAGAAACAGGTAATAATTTTTAAATTCTCAGGTGAATATACCGTGCAAACAAGTCTTTCAGAAAAATCTTTGCAATTAGTGCAAAAGTTTATTGCTGACAAATTGATCAAACTATAATTTAAACATTTGAGCTTTTTCATCATATTATAGAATAAATTGAAATAAAATATAAAAATCGGATCAGTGTATTAGACGTATGTGAATCTGTTTAAATCGGACAATCCCACATGAACGGATCACTGAGTCGTCCCATCCATCAGGTACATCACATCCCTATCCTGAAGGATGGACTCATCATCACCAACCAGGAACATGCACCGGATTTCAACAACAACACCTTTTATGATTACAACAACAATCCAAAAAGTAGTTTCAGAAACACCAAAAATGACTCGCTGCTGATTCAGGATAATTCATTTAGGCGAAATGGCTATCAGAAGTATCAACAACAACAACAGCAGCAACAACAGCTGCAACAACAGCAACAACAACAGCAACAGCAGTTGGAACTTCAAAAGCAGCTTTGGGAATTGCAACAGCAACAGAAACTACAGCAGCAAAAGATTCTGGAACAAGAACAACAATTGATACAACTAAAACAACAATCATCTCCACAAATTCTGCAAAACTACCAACAACAAAATCGACTAGAGAAAGAGCAAAAACACAGCCACCCACACAACTGCAGTTCCCAACAATCAAAATCCAGCAACACTCCACACAACAACAACATTCGCAAACACACATTTCGTTGCTAAGACGACGACAACTAGCCCTATCACCACAAAAGTTCCAACAACAACAAGACCAAAATTTTTTCATCTATGATTTCGAACCAGGTCCTTCAAGACGCGTCACCACCGGCGGCAATTCACAAACGCTGACCATTGACGTCAACAAACCAATCCCCAAATTAGCATCGCCATATTCCTCCAGTGCCGTGCAAAGAGTTCAATCCATTCCCAGACAAGCTCGCAACCAAAAACCTGACAACAAACCAGATGAAAATTACATTAAAAATAGAGTTTGAAAAGAAAAATTTACAATTTGAAAATAGTTTGCTAAACACTCTGAGAGACTCCCGTAAATATTCTCGAAGCAAACCAACAGTTGTCACCAGCAACAACGTAACAAACAATCGCATGAGTTACGATGCTTCGGACAGCAACGATGAGTTAGATTCCATCAACAAACTTGAGGGGAACAAAAGTTCCAAGAGCTACCAGGCCAAGAAACCTCCATTTGATACTTTGAAAATTCAACCGCCTTCCTACCAGAATTATTCATTATCTTCAATTCCAACTTTTCAACCAAATCCCCAAAACAACCTCAACAGTAGCAGAATTAAGAAGGAAAGTTTCGACAATGTCGTCAAGCCTGGTTTGCTACATAGTTAGTATTCTTTATTAGTGAAAATTATTATCAAACGTGCAATTGATTTTGTTTCTCATTATTGTTAATGCTTTTTTTATGATGCAGTTAATGAATTACTATTTTCACTTCAGCCCGTTCGAAGAGCATGCTTGTCCAGCAAAGCCCCAAATCAAATGTGACCTCTGTGAGTTTCCATGCTTCAACATTGTGTACCAACTTTTTCATTATATTTGAATTGCTCTTTAATTCATCCGCACGTGACATTTTTATAAAAAAAATGTAATTTATTCCACGTTTCAAGAGCTTGAAAAACAAAATCTTATTCCTTAACATTCCAGGCATTCAACGAAAGTGTCGAACTGATTCCAATAAAGCTCAAACATCTGGAGACCTACGTGCCTCGACTGACGGTGCAGGACAACAAAGCATGTATGACGGTTACATTCTTATTATATTGCTCATCACTCATTTTAACAAATCAGTTCATGCAGTTTAGTTAAATTGCACAACAATTTAAATAATTTTCACTCACTAAACTTATATGAGTTAACTATTGAAGACCTAAAAATGTTGTTCAGTTTCAAACAAACTCTATTCAGCAACTCAACCCTCAAGGAGCAAATCATTAATAAGAGCCAACGCTTTAGATGAGACCACCTTCGATAAATCAAACTTGGTGAAGAAGGTGTCATTGGAGAGGTAGGGTTGTCCTTTTAATTAAGACGGTGATGAATTTTATAATTTATTTCATGCAAAGATTTTTATAAAATTAAGTTTATACATTTCTTGTCAATCAAATACTTTCTATGAAAAATTATTAGGAGTCGCTAATTTGTTCATATAACTCTAAATTGAAACATTTAATCAATATCAATCCGATTAGAAAATTTCCACTATGATAATTAAACAAAAATGAAATTCAATCATATCTTCAGGTCGGTGGTTGAAAACAAACCATTCAGAAGTCCTCAGGTATCTGAGTCGTCAAACGTAGTTGGAAGTAACGTTTACGGTAAGAAGTGAATACTGGACTCGCTATTATCGAAAATGGAAATTAACAATAAACTATATATAGGCTATCTGCCTAAATGGTTTTAAAATACAATTAATGTTATTTTATTGTTTATTTTAATCAATATTACATAATAATTCATGTTAATTATTAAAAAAAAAATTAATTAATAAAAACCCTCAAAGAGAGTACCAACGTGAACGAACCGGTAAAAGACAGTAACGAATTCTCATGGTACAGACCAAATATGACCAGAGATGCTGGTGGGTTTTTTTAACAAGTCAATTTTTGTTTGAATAAAAAGTTATTTATAACGATACCTTCGATCAATCCAATCTTATAATAATTTATTTCAACACATCCTGATGCAAAAGTAAAATGTTTCCAGCAATTGCCTACCTGCTGAAAAAGCCAAGCGGATCATTTGTCGTTAGGAACAGTTCATCGTATCCCGGTTCGTATGCTCTCGTCATCAAGGTTGATCCCGTTCACGGATCCAAGGAGCAAACAAGTGAACATCCTTTTGGGAATAATTAAATTTGAATGTTCTTCGTTGGCAGTTGTCATTTTCCTGTTTTTATAAATTTTTTTATCAACAGTTAAACAGATATTAGAAAAAATATCATACAACTTTTCAAAAATTGAGTTCTATATTAAATTTATGTTTTCTGCATGTTACTGTTTTAGTTTTATTTCATTACATTTTTTTCTACGTATCTTGTTTAAAATAACATCGTTCTTGTAGCAATATGAATAAATTTTCCATTGAAATGCAAAGCAAATTGAAAATAACTTGCAGATGAGAACGACGTGAATAGCGTGCGTCACTTTCTCATTGAAACCTCGCCAACCGGAGCCAAGCTGATGGGTTACAAAACTGAAGTAGAGTTCGGTAATTTGAAAATCTTTTACTTACACATTGAATATTTCACTTTAAAATTAATTATTATTATAAATATTGCAATATTGCAATCTTCGAATGTATTTTATATAAAAATAACACTGAATAACTTTTATGAAGATAACTTGAAAGCCCTGATTGATTATCATTCAAAAACTCCACTGGCCCTTCCGTGCCGTCTGCTTCTGCCATCAAATACTCGTTAGTTTTGAGTGTCTGAAATATTTTTTATAAAGTATTTTCATTTAAAATTTTTAAAAAGTTTGCAAATAGTGAATTTAGTCTGAATCATTTTATAAACATTGTTCAACAATTGAATAAATTATTATAACATGAAACAAAACTCTACTCTACATTAGAGTCGCTGGAAGCCTTACACGTCCTCTCTGTACCCGTTGAAGTGTCATCTGACATAATTGCCATAAACAGGACATTCGAAATTTGCGTCACCAATATCTGCAGCATTGGATTGTCCAGAGTGAATCTTAACACAAATATTAACGGCATTCAAATAGACTCTGAACAGAAAATGTTAGTCCAACTAAATAAAACCGCTAATGTTAGGTTTCTCTTTTTCTTCTATAAAACATACTTAACGTTAAATATACACATCGTCTATTTAAATAAATTTAATAATTATTTCAAATGAAGGAATTATTTAATTATTCATCTAAAAATTTGAAGCACACATTTGAAGAGGTTCTATCCGTACGATGACATAACGTACTGTGGAGTTGATCCTCAATTGAAAAGGTTAATTTTTATTATGGTTTGCAATTTGACGTTAATTCTTATCACCTAAAATCGTACATATTCAAAAAAAATGTTAATTTACTTTGATTTAATCCTAAATAAACTTGTTTGTTAACTTATTCATTCATTACAAAAAATTACCAGATTACCTATTAGTAAGGAGATCAACTCTCGAAGCAATGGATACTTGTACGTTCTAAATCTTTTCTATATGTAATTTTTTACAATTTACTTTTTTAAAATAGTTGTAAAAATAATTTTTCTAATCTTCAAATCAATTGAACGTGTTGCAGACTGTTCGGGTTTTTGGTAAGAGGAAGCAGCGAAGGTGACGAATGCCACGTTTTTGCCGTCAATGACGACCACCTCCCGCTCTTTATTGAAACTGTTAACAAAAACTTAAAATTTGTCTGAGTTTCATTTTTAAACTGACTACATATAAATTGATCTAATGCTTGCTGCTTCTTAAATGTTATTATTAATAAACGTTGATATTAATTTTTGTACATACATTCATATATTTTTGTACATTCATTCAATGAATTTGTTATTTGAATGTGAATTTATTACATTTTTATGTTAACAATTTGCTTGATATTTCATTTTCTATTTATTTTTTAGAAGCTAATTTACTAATCTGATGGAACTTCAGTAAACAAAACTTGGCATAAAAGTTGTGTCTCTGTTGATGCATTAAAAATAACAAAATGTTCCATTTTTCTGTTTATTGTATTGTATACTATAATTTATTGCATGTTTTGTCACTTTCTATACACAACAATCATCACAACATAACATTGTAAGTGAATTACACGAATAACAAACCTAGTCAATTGTCCATTGATTAGCCAACAACAAAACATTAGTAACATCCATAGATATATATGGTAACATTCCTACTATATTGATACAAAATAAACAGTAATGTCGGTGCTTTTGAAGTGTGGGTCGTTCGCCTGCCAACTCAATGATAATTTACTTAGAGCAAGCTTTGGGTTGAAAAAAATTGTAAAAAACTTTCACGAAGCTTCATGTGTCAGTGGTAAGTTTTGGATTGGAATGCCATTGCTTCGTTTCTGAACAATTTTGAACTAAAATTGGGCACCATCTTCTCTGATGATCATCATTATTATAATTATAATATAATACATAACGATGATCATATATTTCTATTCTATTTCTCTTTATTAAGCAAATGAATTTTAATTTTTAATGAATTAATTGTAATCATCCGATAATATAGTGTTGTGTGTGCATGTTTACTGAACAACCTGCAATATCATTGTAATGTAAATTAATAATGAATAATCAAACCAATAAACTTCTGAAATAACAAACATAAAAAAGCCACAGATAGATTGGAATCAGAAGATAAAGACATTTACGAACATGCTCTGGAGTTTGCAAAAAATGAATTGGCCCCAAATATGAAGAATTGGGACAGCAAAGTTAGCTAATTAGTATGAATTCAGTTAAATTAAATATGCTACTGAAATTGTCATTTTAGATCTTGAAAATTTTATTTATATTATTTTATTGACAATCACATCCAATATCAAAAGTCATTTTTTCATAGTTCATTCTAGCTAAATTGAATAAAAGACATTTTATTCATGATATTTTTAAATACAAAATAAATTTTCATGACCAAACATTGTCAGAACATATTCCCTAAAGAAGTATTACGACATGTTGGAGCTCTCGGGTTTGGTGCCATCTATTGTCAAGAAAAATTTGGAGGATCACACATGAATCGACTGCAAGCATCAATCATCTTTGAGGCTCTGTCGCATGGTTGCCCATCAACAACAGCTTATATCAGTATTCACAAGTGTGTATGTTTGTTGTATGTATATGTGTATTTGTATGTATTTGTCTGTATGTGTGTGAGTTTGCTTCTAAGTACATATCTTTATGCATGTTATATATTTCTTGTATGTTTACATCTTTATATGTGTGTTTATGCATGTGTGAGAAGGGGAATGGTTTTATGTGGAATTTTATTTCTACATGTTTGTAGGTTTTTCTTAACACATACTTCATGGTTGTATTAAATAGTTAATGTAAATTTCCATTGTTAATCTAGACCATCAACCTTTATATTTTCATCCTCATATCCAGAAGTGGAATTTTGGCCACACTAGCAAACATTTGGTGTATATATTGGCCCGTCCTTAACAAATTTTTTTAAAAATTTTTACATTTTTGAAATACTGTCACCATTGTTTAGATCCGCCACTGCTGACATCTAACAATCACCATCAATTTCCGCCCTCACATCCAATTTTTCTATCATAATCACCATCAATTTTTATCCTAACATCCAAATTCTCCATCACAATCACCATCATTTTCCAACAGCATGTGTGCCTGGATGATTGATACATATGGATCAGATGGGTTGAGGGAGAAGTGGGTCCCTTCACTGGCCACAATGGAAAATTTCGGATCTTATTGTCTTACGGAACCTGGTATAAATATTTTGTTAGTTTAGTCCACATATAACTGTTCAGTTACATGTAGTTTAGTGAAGTGTCAAATGTACAAAATTTGATTGATCTTATGAATTAGTTTATTTACGATTAGTTACAGATATATCACTATATATAAGTCAGTTTTCTCTATCAAATTTATATATTTTTCAAATAATTTCTTCTTTCATTTTATTTTAATAATTTTTTATTGAAATAATATTTATTTGAAGATAGTGGAAGCGATGCATCTTCATTGAAAACATCGATTGTTAAGAAAGGTTCTGAATATGTGCTAAATGGTACCAAAGTATGCACCAGGACATTATTCTATCTTTTTTCATTGTATCCTCTGATATATTTCCCTCATAAACAAACATTTTATTTGGCGAGATTTTTATAATCTAAACTACAGATTTAAATTATTGTAATAATTCATTACATCTGATTATCTGTTGTTCAGAGTTTCATCAGCGGTGCTGGTGAGAGTGCCGTGTATTTGGTGATGGGCCGGACAGGAGAGGGAGGTCCGAAGGGGATCTCTTGCGTTCTTGTGGAGGCTGACCGGAAGGGTCTGAGTTTTGGAAAGAAAGAAGAAAAAGTTAGCAATTAGATGTTTGCTGTTCGTCTGTGTGGCTTGTTGCATTGCTAACTTTGACAACTGTCTATTTGTTATCGTTCATTGGATGTTGTTTTTAGTTTATTTTAGTTTTATTTGTTGATGTTAATTTTTAACAGACTAGTAAAATGAATGAATATTGCTAATAACAAACTAAACAAACAATACCCATCCGCCCACAAGACCATCTTATCTATCCACACAGCTAACCAAACAACCAACCATCTATGCAATCAAACATCTATACAATCAACCAGCCATCTATACAACCAACCAACCAACCAACCATTTATATAACCAACCAATCAACCAACCAACCGACCGACCATTAACACATAAGGTAGGTTGGTGCACCCACCCAGCACGTCAGGTCTTCATGGAGGATGTTGTGGTACCAACTTCGAACTTGTTGGGGGTCGAGGGCCAGGGCTTCAACATTGCAATGCATGGTTTGAATGGAGGAAGAATAAATGTTGGTATGTTTACGTTAATATGTCTCTGAATTTTTGTATGTTTTTTTGGTGTTTGTTTTTATTCTGCATGTTTCAATACGTTGGTTTGCTATGCATTTACATGTTGTGTGCCACACCAAACTGTTTGTTGGGCTGTTTTATTTTCATTTTTAAACGTTGTCATCTCTTAAAAAAGATGATTTATTTATTCAAAGTTTATTTTTAAAAAAAATTTAGTCGATTAAAAAGGTAAAAATTAAAACTACGATAAACAATTAAATGATCGACAGCTTCTGTATCGGTGGGAGCGGCTGCAGCGGCTCTCGAGGCAGCCACAAAACATCTAACTGTTAGGAAACAATTTGGACGCAGTCTCAAAGACTTTCAGGTTCAGATTTTCAATATTTTTGGCGACAAATATTTAATCCGTCATGCTATGACACGCCAACCAGCCTTACATCATGTCACATCGCCTGCAGTACTTACAGTTCAAACTGGCCGAAATGGCCTCCAGCGTTGTGAGTTCACGTTTGATGGTCAGACATGCGGCCAGGTCGCTGGATCTTAAGACGCCCAATCTCGTTTCTCTTGCTGCCATGGCTAAACTCTTCTCTACAGAACAATGCTCCAAAGTAATTCTTGCTGTCGAAATGATTTTGCATGTGAGGCGTTTTTGAAGAAAGATGTGTTTGCTACAAAGTCTTTATCTATTCCTTTTGGGTTATATACTTGAAAATAAATACTTATTTACGATTATATTTATAAACATTCTTTTCATAACTCAGGTATGTGATCAGGCGATACAAATGTTTGGCGGGTACGGCTATTTAAAGGAGTATCCGGTCCAGCAGTACTACCGGGACATCCGACTTCACCACATAATTGAAGGTCGTTACCTGATTTCAATCCTTTACCATCAATAGATTTCAACCATTACTCAATCCTTACGTATAAAATATATTTTCAATTCATTAACCATCAACTAATCTTCAATCTTGCGATGTATTGTTTAAAGAAGTTGAAATGAACAACATTTCAACACTAACTTTCATTTCACAACATTTGTTTCCAATACAATCTAACAACACACCGAAAAGCAGTTTGTATAACAATTAAAGATATATTATATTTTCTATTTTCAGGAACCAATGAAATGATGAGAATGTTGATAGCCAGAGATCTTTTAAAATAGTTATTTTTACTGATTGATTTATTATTATTAACATTAACAAAATTAAATTTCAAATCGTGCCTTCCGAATGGTTCTTTATTTAATTTTTCGTGTTTCTATAATACATCTGCATAATAAAAATCCTTATTACGATTAATTTATCATCACGCATTGTCTTCGTCGTTTGCATAAAGCCACAGCTGTAACCATCAGAAGAAAAACCATCTCATTTTCACAACCAGTTTTGTTATATCAATCTTCGTTTTGCGTCCAGAGACCCGGTCACCCGGGGTAGGACGTTGTTTTCTTTGCCATCAATTAGACGATCAGTTGTATCCATTTCATTTAAATTTAGAAATCATTCTTAATATTATTCAGTATTTCATTTTAACAACCTAGTTTTGTTATGTTGTAGGTTATATTATTGCGTAAACTTGTCTGATATATCGGTCTTTTTAAATTTTCTTTCTGCTATTTATTATTATTATTATTATTATAAAATTTTGTTATTGCACATTATATAATATAACATATTATATAATATATTATAAACTAACATAACCGGTTTGCTGTGAGCATTGTATTGCATGAGTGGAGGATGTATATATATGTGTATTTAAATATATCACATAGATATGTATACATTTAAATACCTAACTTAGAAATAAAATTTTCTGAAAACTGAAACAAGAAGAATAATTGAAATCAAGGTTTTAAGTACAACCATACCATAAATATAAAATGAATCAATATATAAAACTTAACAGAAATAATTTGCTTATTTTCGCAAGGCTAGATAGATAAAAATATAAAAACTACAATAATAATACATAGGTTACAATATTAATAAGTATAACAATAATTATCATTTCGTAACCATAATTTCATATAATAATAATAATAAGTAAAAACTAGAGCAATAGGTTGGAGAGGTGCATTGTGTAGGTTATATATTGAATCCATGTCTTCTCATGCATTCCTTGTGTGCTTCAATTAAGTCCTGGCAGTTCTCTTCACCTTTCTCCGCAATGCTATTCGTTTGTTATTCATTGGTGTAATTGTTGCGATTTTTGTTGATGTAATTTTTTGTAATTTGTTGATGTAATTGTTGTAATTAATTGATGTAATTATAGTAATTTATTGATGTAATTGTTGTAATTTGTTGATGTAATTGTTGTAATTTGTTGATGTAATTGTTGTAGGTTTTGAAAAATGCTGAATTCATAAAAAATATTTAGTAATGATTAACAACAAACAACATGGATCTAATCTTAAAATCTTAAATGATTTTTCTTGATGAATATTAATTATTAATTATGGTCTTATTGTTCATACAAAACATCTTGCTTGTATTTTTTTAATCCTAATGTACCAACTTACCATTCATCTCTTGGTTTTCTGGTTTCAGGACAAGCACAGCATGGCTTTGGTTTGTTTTCTTTGCCCTCTGTCTTGTCTTTCACTTCATCTGGCATCTCTGATTTTTAACAAAATGAAATAGAATTTTCAGTAATTTATTTATGAATGAATGATTGAATGTTCAGCTTTTGAATTTTTAAATTTAAAAATCAAACTTCCTTCGTGAATAAAAAAATGAATGTTGCAGCTATATTAATTGTATGTTAGGGTTATGTTATTTTAATAATTAAAATTTTACAAATTTTAATTATTAAAATATAATTTATAAAATTACAATTTTTACTCAAGCTAAAAAATAAAATAAGACTAAAAACTCAACATAAATTCAATCTAGGATTATAAAAGTTTAAACAGAGTACAGAATAATTAATAATATTATTTATTAATATTAAGTTTAGAATTTAACTACAACCAAAAAATGGAAAAATGTTTCAAAAAACCAAAAAACCTGCTATGAAATTTTAGGATTTTATTTTTTCGATTTGTTAATCTTCTTTCTTACTGTTAATTAAAAAACCTTCTTACTTCTTAAAGTCAAGAATGAACTTTCGCAATGCAACACGACAACACCTTACCGTCCCCAACTAACACTAACTGACTGACACTGAACTTCAGTGAAGGTTAACTTTTTAACAACCACTTGCTATGGCTATATTACCGTTATAATTATTATTTTTATTATTTGACTTTAGTTACATGTTTCGTATTCACCCGGATAAAACGTGTAAAAGTAACGTAAGACATTTTGAAGGTTTGATCCAGTCTGACCATTGAATTATGAGGCTGGAATTGTGGTGTAAAAATAATGGATATGGCGGATATAGCTACGTTATTTATATGATACTAACACAAACTTAATTGTAAATTACGCATTTTTATTTTAAAACCATATGAATTCACAGTTTTAGTATTGAATAAATGTATAAGATGACGATTAGAAGTTTGATCTGCTAGTCTGCTGTTTGGTCAAACCTAGTAGTTGACAAGTCAAAAGTTAATCTACACTAGATGGATTAGTAAATATTGTTAATATTATATTATAATAATTAAAGATTACAATTTAATTTAGGAGCTAATTAGATCTCGTTCGCATTTGAAAAAAGTTAGGATTAAATTGAACTTTTGATGGCCTGCAATAATAAAGAACCTTTGTCACTTGCTAGGGGTTTGTTTCCAAAATTCCAAGTTTCAAAAAATATTTTTCATTTAAAATTATAATTATGAAAATTAGTTTTATTTAATATTTTTATTTCTTTTTTCTTCAGATGTGCAGAGGGCTGTGGAAATATTGGATATACTTCAGAAATGTTAGTCTATTTTATTTTTTACATTTACAAAACTAAAACATATATAATATTTCATGTATAGTATACATGCAATATTATATATGTTTTAGTTTTGTAATTGTATACTCTTGCTTGGTCATGTAAGTATGTGTGTAAAATGAAGATCGCTAATTTTAAAGTTTAAATTTTACTACAAATTATTTTTCCACCACAACAGCTGGTGATTTTGACAATTTCAAACTTGCATCCCTTCAAAAAATCCTACAAAGTGAGTTCTGTGTAGCTGTTCGAGAAGTTTACGAGCATGTGTACGAAACTGTGGACCTCAGTGGAAGCACCGATGTCAGGGCCAATGCCACGGCTAAGGTTTCTCTTTATATTTCATCATTATTTGAATATAAATTCTAGGTATAATTTTATTGAGAGTTTTTGCTCCCGTTGGAAAATGCTCCATTTTGTAGTTGTTTCGGTAAGCAGTTGTGTAAAAATTTTTTTAATGTTTTAATTTTTTTTTCAAACTATTGATTGTCAAAGCAAATTTTAAATGATCTGAATGAAAAGGTACTGGATAAATGCACTTATTGTTGTCCAACAGCGCTATTCGTAGACAAAAGCAAATAAATTTGTATACAATTTACTTATTTGAAATATATAAAGTAAAGTACATAAAGAAATAAATAGTTGTACCGGTGGGTATAGTTTTATATCATCACCAAACATACAATACAATCACATCAACATTTTAGCTGTTTATACTAGTGTTATTTCATTCACATGATGTTGAGTAGACATTAGGAACATTTGCAAGAACACTATTTGTTAATGGATCATCATTCCTCTCTCTCTCTCTTTCCAGGCGACAGTGGCAGCGTTTGCAGCCAGCGAGGGCCACGCCCATCCTCGAATCGTCGAACTCCCGAAAACGGAAGAGGGATTGGGATTCAACGTGATGGGAGGCAGGGAGCAGAACTCGCCGATCTACATATCGAGGATCATTCCAGGAGGTGTGGCCGACAGGCATGGAAGCCTGAAGAGAGGCGATCAACTGCTCAGTGTCAATGGAGTTGTCAGTGTTGTTGGCGTTGTTGTGGCTGCTACTGGTGTTGCTGTTGTTGTTGTTTTGTTTTTTTTGTTGTTGTTGTTGTTGTCAGAGTTGTTGTTTTGTTGTTTTTGTTGTCATTGTGGTTGTGTGTCAATTTAAATTTATTTAATTATCAATTTATATTTATTTAGTTATTAAGTTTTGATTTGTTTGATGTCAACTTATTTATTCAATGCAGAGCGTTGAAGGTGAGCCTCACGAGAAAGCTGTTGAACTTCTGAAAGCCGCTCAAGGTTAGTTATTTTTATTATTATTATTATTGTTTTTATTGTTTTTAATGTTTTTTTTTATTATTTTCTTGTTGTTGTTGCTGTCATTGTTGTTGTTGTTGATGTCGTTTCTGCTTGTGGTTGTTGTTTGTTATTTCACTGTTGATAGTTACTAGGTTTCAACTAACTTTATCATTCAGTGTGGTTCTGTTGACCATGTCACATATTATCTTCTTAATCTTTTCAGTCATTATCATCTCAATTTTTTCATCTATTATCATCTTAATCATTTCGATAAACATTACTCTCTTTGTTGTTCAAATTGTTGTTATCTTGATCTTCTTAATCACAATGCAACACACATTTCACGTCAGGTTCGGTGAAGCTGGTTGTTAGGTACACTCCAAAAGTCCTTGAAGAGATGGAGGCGAGATTTGATAGGCAGAGGATGGCCAGGAGAAGACAGCAGAGTCAATGATTGGTTGATTAGCTGATTGGTTGGTTGATTGGTTGGTTGATTGGTTGATTGATTGGTTGATTGATAGGTTGGTTGGTTGGTTGGCTGATTGATTGATTGATTGATTGATTGATTGATTGATTGATTGATTGATTGATTGATTGATTGATTGATTGATTGATTGATTGATTGATTGATTGATTGATTGATTGATTGATTGATTGATTGATTGATTGATTGATTGATTGATTGATTGATTGATTGATTGATTGATTGATTGATTGATTGATTGATTGATTGATTGATTGATTGATTGATTGATTGATTGATTGATTGATTGATTGATTGATTGATTGATTGATTGATTGATTGATTGATTGATTGATTGATCGATTGATTGATTGATTGATTGATGCAAAATTTAGCCCAGAAGTCCAGTTTTTTAATGATTCCATGTGTATTTTTTTAGAAAATTGTTGGTATTAGTACGAAACAAAAGCTCAACTGAACAAAACAACTTGTAGATTTAGAAAAAATTATTCCGACGCATGCGTAATGGGATGATAATTAGTTAATTAATTAGTTCTTAATTAATTAATTAATTAATTAATTACTGACCGATTTCAGGCAAATGTATAATTCAATAATTTATTTTAATTTTTTTAATAATTTTAGTACACATGCATCTGCATGCCAGTCACAATTCAATTTCTCAAGTAATCATCATTTTATTGAGTGGGTTTATTTCAATAGTTCTAGATTTTGTGTTTTTGTTTCAGTCAATCAATCTTCGTTTTGCGTCCAGAGACCCGGTTTCCCGAGGTAGGACGTTTTTGTTTGTTAATATTTTGTTGAAAACTTTAGTTAGTCGGTTCATTTAATATTTTTCTAACTTTTTCATTCATGATATGTTATGGTTGAGTGAATGATCAGTTAAGTAGATGAATGAATGAATGAATGAATGAATGAGTGAGTGAAATGAAAGAATGATTGAATGAATATTTAATTGAAATAATAGTTTTAAAAATGAATATCAAGGCGAATGAACGAACGAACGAATAATTGATTGTATGAACGACATCCAGATTATATCATCTTTTTTTTCATTCCAATGCTCATTGTCAAATTTGTTGCTAATTTTTTTTAAATTTACTTAAAATAAACTAAATTAGAATTCCGTCGGTATATGTACGTTCTAAGTAAGCTGCACAGCACAGCGGTTTAAAATAACTTCTCAAGAGATTGAGAATTGTACATATTTGATTTCAGTTATTTTCGATAAAAACTTCCTAGCCATGATTTTGTTTTTGAAGATCTTGTCAACATGCTCACAAGTTTTTACCTGGTTCTATCGTATTGAGACATTTTAAAATTGAAAATATGTGTATAAGTAAATGGAAAAATCAATTCACCATTGGAGATAATTGTTTGAGTTAGTCATTTGTTGTTGTCATTTATAGAATAGTAGTTATTGCATGTATTTATTATTGTTCTTCATCTTGTAATGTCATGAATAAATTTATTTTTATTTGAATGAGATTTTGTCGTTTCGGCCTTCGTCATCAATATTAGTTTGACATCGGCAAACATGCCGAAATTTGATGTATGCTTGAGGTGCAGTTGTATTTTCTGGTCAAGCAGTTTAGTTTAGATTCATTTATCGAATAGTGCGTGTATATGTATGTTTATGTGTGTTTGTGTGTGAAAGAGAGAGAGAAAGAGAGAGAGAGAAAAAAGAGAGAGAGAGAAAGAGAGAGAGTTTGTGAATTATCTGTCACAACATGTGACTAACATTGTAAGAGAAACGAAAATCGTGATTAAGGATTTATGTGTATGTAACGTTATGTGTGATTATGATATCCGAATTTGAAGAGTTTCTTGTTAAAACACAGCACAGATTTTTGATTTTATAGTAAAACAAAAAAAATTTCAATTAGATTAAAATTTTACAATGTGTGTTACGACTGAATCCCACAAAGTAGTACATCATTCAGTGGTTTTCTGGGAACTAAACGCTGGCTACCTTAATGCACCTAACGCCAAACAATTAAAAAACACATATTAATCTTGTTCTTTCATTTTCTTCTCCAATGATTTTGCATTGCAATCAAAAATTAAACATTTTTTAATTACTTTGGTTGAAATAGATTTGAATGAAACGTTTTGAATGAAACGTTTTGAATGAAACGTTTTTACTGTGGTCTAACAGAATTTATAAAAAAAAAGGTTTAAACGCTGCCAGCAAGAGGAAAATGGAAAAATTATCTCCAAGAATTTTTTGTAATTGGTTTCATGCCAACACTGAATTTTAGCTTCAAATTTCTGTTAAAATATTCATGTATGTATTGTAGATTTCTGTGGAAACTTATAAATAGTTTTGTGTATGTGTGCGTGTATGTATGTATGTGTGTGTGTGTGTGTGTGCCTGTATGTGTTTTTTTATGAAAGTGTATTTTTGAATGATCGATGAGTCATGAATATGACAATCCAATCACGATAACATGAAATCTGTTTGATAGTTTGTGTTAGTCAGTCGCAATTAGATGTGATGAAAAGTTCCCAGGCTTGTTGAGTCACCACTTTAAATGACATTTCTTCATTAGGCCATTGACCCGTCAATGGTCCGTTTGTTTGTCTTTGGTCGTTCACCTGCAAGACAATTCATCTGAGTGTTGCTAACTGAAGAAGACATTTTATCATGGATCTCTAGACATCTCTGGTATAAGTATGTCAAGTGATCCATACTTTTTATTACCAGCTAAAACAGGATTTATGCTAAAAAAGTTTTACTCGTATGGACTTTCTGCATGGAAGTCGCATGGAAGCGGTAGCCGCAATCTGCAGATGTCATTTGGTCCCATCAACAGCCAGCGATTGGAAAGGACAGTGCCTCAATTTTGATATGTGACATTTCAATTGGACGTAGATAGAACTTTTGAAAAAAAAGGCGTTTTTTATACGTTACTAAAATATTTTTTGTAAAATATATGCATTTAAAAACGACAATAAATTAATTAAATAAATAATTAATTAATTAAAAAGTAAATAAGTTTGCTCATATAAAAACTGAAGTTAATGAGTTCGATTTACTTATTAACAAGTGGATATTTGTTGATTGCTTTTGTCGACGTTGGGATAAATAACTGAACGATTGAATGGATGAATGAACGAATGAACGAACGTGTTGGTGAATGACTGACAAATGACTGAATAAATGACTGAATAAATGAATGGATGAATGAGTGCATGAATGAGTGAATGAATAAATATATTTAGAGTGAATCATAGAGAGATGCAATGCCGACGACGATGATGACATTGCATATTGTTCGCCTGCTACAAGACTTCTTTGTTTAAGCTTGAGACTGTCTGCAATATTTCAAACATGTAACGTTCTGAATTGCGTTCAATTTTTCATTTTTTCAAAATATTGTTCAATAAAAAATATGCAAAAAGTGATCCACTGAATTGTTTTACTCAAATTATTGTTATAGATTTTAACGACAAATTTTGAAAATAGAAATTGTATAAACGACTATTTAACATAGCGGGTTGTTTTTTCTGATGTTTTAATTATTTCATGCTTCTTGCTACACGTTTAAGTTTAAAAAAAAAGAACTTTGAAAATGTTACGTTAAATTTTTTTATCCAACCGACCAACCACAGCAACACCATGCAATCATCCCAGCATATTTCCTATCCTCATTTTCAAAAAAACTTTAGAGAAGGTTAATTTGGTCCAAAAAATTCAACATGCCATTCACAATGGAAAGCTTTCAGTCTGGCGCGTTAGGCATTGGGTTAAAAATGGTCCTAGAGGTTAAAAGTTCAAGTTTAAGGCCGGTTTTCTGAGAAAAACATTTTTGACCTGTAACCTCTACTGGTAGTGCAACTTCATGAATTAAGATATTGTAGGGGGTGTTGGTACCTATCATGGATGTTGAAAAATTTAAAATGACCATCTTGAAATGCAGCAGAGATTAAAACAAAAACAATAGCTATGTAAGACAGTGCAAAAAAAGTATTTAATTTTTTCAGTAGTTTTATAAAAAATATTACGTCGAATTATATTTTTTATAAATATATTTGTTTTCTAATTGTAAGGTGAAATTTGGGAAAAAAATTCAAGAGTCGAAATTTTGGAGTCTGAAATTTTTTCAAAAAGTCGGATTTGGTGAAATTTCGATCTGACTCGGAAACACTGGATAAAATCGGAAGTTTGCCGATGTGTTTCGCCACAGAAAGCATTTTGGACAAAACCATTGTAACGAACTTAGTATATAAATCAATATTTCACACGCAGCACAAAGAAAGCATCGTCGTATCCGCAGTAGCACTTCTATACATCATTCAAATGTTTAGCAACACTACTACTACTAGTACCATTGTTATTTTGCTATTGCTACGTGTATCATGGCATGTGATAGTCAGGGATCTCGTTGTGATCGAACCCTGACACTGCAGCAGCGGTGTCAAACACCTTAACCATTATACTATCGGGTACATCATGTTTACTTGGGTACATTTACCTCTTTTGACGTTATCTATCTCAATACTTATAGTTAGCTTTTCTTTGAGCTTTTTCACTAAATAAAAATATTCAAAACCCTAGTGAATTAATTGACTAATGGTTGTCCAAGTGCTAAAAAGAGAATACCACTTTACTAGAAACTTACTTATGCATTCTTAAAAAATACATTATTAATGACAAATGACAAATACATGCAGAGTGTTTATAAACATTTCGTTGCTGCCTTCTATTATTTCATTACTCTCTTTTAGTTTCTTCTATTTCTCTTTTTTTATTGAGCTATTTCACACAGACAAACACACACACATACACACGCACACACACACACACACACACACACACACACACACACACATGCACCTATGATTCAACGAGGAACCTACTTGAGTGTATATATACGTGACCAAAAATAACTTAATTGCTTAGAACTTGCTTCAAAATTTCGATTGACTTAAAATTAGTCTTGTAATTTAAACTAAACAATTTGACTAAGTGTTTGTTAGACGTAGTTGTTGCTCTGGTTAAACTGACAAAGAGTGATTCAGGCGAGCAAAATGAAGATATACTTTGCAATACTCTTCATGATTCAAGTTCGTTTTATAATTATTGAAAATAAGTTCAATAAGAAAATAAATGAAATTAATTTAATATTCATTTTAATTTTTTCTTTCGTGAAAAAGGTTTTGCCGTTGGGATTTGCCAACCCTCCCTCCGACTGTGTACCCATGCAATACGTCAATCAGTGCAAGCAAGTCAAGTGTGAGGGTCCCAATTCCTTCCCGGTTCGATTTGCATTGCCGATCATCAAAAAATAAAATTGTTTTATTATTTTTTTAAATAATATTTATCAAATAAGAGTTTCTGATTATTTATTATTCATTGTTTGTGTGAATTCTATCTTCATTCTCTCATGAAAGCATCAATTGTGATCAACTTTTCATCTATCGAACCAAAAACGTTACTTACACTCTTTGAAAATTTATCATTCGAGTCATACAAACTTCGCAACATTTTCTGCCATAGCAATTCTCTTGATGTTGAATGGCTAGTTACATGCATGTAATTTTTCCACAGAGTGTATCTTCACTAAATATTTTTGCTACGTCCAAATTTTTTTGTTTTAAACTTTTACACACCTCTACTTACATTCACAATATGCACACGCACACACATACACATATTCACAAAGACACACACATACAACACAACACACACACAAACATACACACAAACACACACACACAAATACATTCACACAAACGTGAGCAGAACTGCCAAAAAAAGGTAAATCCTTACATAGGAGGCAACCAATGTTGCGACCAGGAGACTGTGGCAGCCTTTCGAAGGGGTAGATCGAAGAGGCAGGCATACAATTTCGACAACTACCCTGCTGCTAAATGGAACAAGCTGATACCATACTATCTCAATTTCACTAATTGTTAGTCCGCGCGTCGTACCTACACAGCTCATAGTTGAAATCATTTGGTTCCCAAATTTTAATGAATTAATTATAAAATCGACACAGATAGCCCAGAGACGGAACCTATGAAAAAATTTGCAAACAAAAAAGTCATAAATAACAATTATTTTCTTTCCAGTAACCTACGCATCAGCCATAAAAACCGCCATCAACAACATCGAGATGAAAACATGCGTCCGCTTCACCGCTTCCTCGACGATTCCAACTGAGTCCCACATTGTCTTCCAGACGTCAAATGAAGGGTCGGTAGAGTTGGGAAAGAAATTATTTGTCGCTATATAACTTGGAACTTAAATGGTTGGGGTTGATTTTTTTAACGCTTGAATAACTAATGTTAGTTGGTTTCAAAAATAATAAAAGTACAAAACAAATGGATTCAAAGTAAAATAGTTGTAATATGAAAATAATGCGTTATTCAGATGCGTTTCGTTTGTCGGGAAGTCAGAGAAGGTTGCATCTCCAATTTTCGGCGACAGCAAATGCCTCAGCAACGTTTGTTCTTTCTTCTTACGACTCCACCCAAGCAATTCACGCTAAACACCAACAAACAAAACATTGAAACATAAAATTTCAAACGCTCCAACAAACACCATCAAACATAACATTGAAAACATAATTTTAAATGCACCAACAAACATAACATTGAAACAAGCAATTTCAAACTCTCCAACGAACAGCAAGGGCAGATGGTATACTTGATCGTGCAGACGTTGGGACTGTGGCACCAGAGCCAGAGACCAGATGCCCCCCAGTACGTGAGTGTTGATAGAAGCAACATGGATCAAATTCATTGGATGGATTTCAACACTGTTGACCAGTCGTACCTCACCAGCTTCGGACTGGCATACGATTATGCTTCCATAACTCAATATCCAGCTAAAGTTTGTAGTGACATTAATAACATTTGGTACGACGCGTATTTGTTTATAGCTTCTGGCCATCCAGTAATTAGGTTCAAATGCAAAAGGAACCCTGTTACCATATGCGATGTTTGTGTTGTGTGGTTTTCACGCGTATTCACACACGCTGTGTGTATGTGTGCGTGTGTGCGTGTTTGTGTGTGATCACCTTTTTTATACAAGGTTTTAATAATAAAATACTAAGATATTGCAAACGACTTAATTTTGAAGGCTGTATTTTAAATATTTCATTACGGAGAAAACAGTTCGAAAGTATGTTTTATATTTCTGATAGATATATTGTTATATTCGTTAATAACATTTGTTATATTTGATATTTCTTGTAGATATTTTCGAACAACGGCAAGCCAACTCTGGTCCCGAAAGACGCGCGTTATACCAGCACGATGGGACAGAAGGTTGAACTTTCATTCATCGATGCCAAACTCTTGAACTACATGTACTGCAAATGTAAGACTTGTTTAATTTCAATTAAAAATTATTTTCAAAGATAATCATTATTTTTATTAATATAAAACTCTTTGATGTGGAAAGTTGTTGGCATAATTTATAAAAACATAATTTGAACTATAGTTAATTGATACGCCATCAAATTTTAAACATGACAATTCTATTTAACTCACGTTAGCTATCAACATAAACCAGATTTTTAAACTTTCACACCAAATTTAAACATTTTCATTTGAATATTTCTACTTCTATTTCTATATTTAAATCTTAATGTTTAAATATTTAAATGTTAAAATTAATCAAAATTAGCTGAATGTTCCAATGTTCCAAATTGTAAAAACGGTGGTTACGTAAATTATAACAACTGTACCTCATGTATTTGTCCTCTGGGCTATCAAGAACCTTTTTGCGATAAGATCAGTGCACCAGCTAATCAAGGTATGATTAGTTTCCATAAAGAAATCTATTTGAATCTTGAGTGATTGAGTGGTTGATGGGTTTTTAATTACATAATAATATTTAATGATATTGAATAATTATTAAAAATATTTAATGAAATTTCAGAATTTTTCATAATATTTGATAATATCCTAAAATGTGTAATAATAATTATTACTGAATTTTTGATTAATTTAATGTTTCAATAACGAGTTTGTTGGTTTAGAGTAATAAATTAAAAAAAATTGCAAAAAATCTAAAACTGTTAAATAAATTCATAAAAATTTTTTAAAATTTTTCACCAGTATACAGTCCAAATGACTGCGGAGGCGAACTGTTCGCGACGAACAACGAACAAACAATCATGTCGCCAGGCTATGGCGTAAGAAATTACGAAACTATCATGACTTGCAAATGGAAAATTTCTGTAAGTATAATTTAATTATTATGCCAGAGTTTGGCCGTAGCTACTATTTTGTTCTGAAATATTCAATTGTAGGTACCGGCAAATAGCAAAGTCTCTTTGAAGTTTGTCGAAAGTTTCGGCATATATTCCGACGATTACGATGCCTGCCAAGATTGGGTTGAGATCAGATACGACAGACCAGCTAATGAAACTGGGCAGAGGTCTGTTTTAAATATTAGAAATAATTTTTTTTTAACAACTTGGTCATCAATTAATTAATATTCAATCAGATTTTGTGGTTCAGTTCTTCCAACTGATGCTTTAAGTTCAACTCTGCCAGAAATCCTCATCATCTTCCAATCGAACGATCCAGCAGCATTGTTTCAAGCAAGGACGGGCTTCAAACTTCAGTTTAAAATCGGTTGGTTGATTGAGCAGCACATGCTAGATGTTACGACTCCACCTGTTGTTTATCAAATGTTCATGTTTAGCGAATCAACATTCACATTTCATTGAACTGTTTTATAATTTTCTAAATATTAGTTTTATTATATTTTTATGAAGCCTTCTTAAAGGAGTGACTGACTATAAGTCGCACTTAACAATTTAATAAATAACTGACGGGGTCCAGGTAACAGAGCACAATTCAAGTTTGGCATATTGCCATTGAAATATATACTTCTCAATCGATATAAACCGCTCGTTATGACGTCATTGTGAAATAGAGATGTACAAATATTATATTTATATCTTATTATCTTACTAAATTCAACAATTAAATTTCCACTATACCTTACGACAAAATTTTTTCCTCCTAGAATCGACAAGCGTTGTTGGCTCCTGCAGTATGGTTGACTGCCAGAACAATGGAACCTGCGTTGAAACGGGCCAGGGGTTCAAATGTTTATGTCAGGCGAATTTTGCTGGCAACTTTTGTGAAATCGGTCAGTGGTTATTATTTAGAATAAATATTCTTTAGTGCTGATAATAATAATAATCCAATTCGGTATTTTTGGTGTGTGTATGTTAGTGGATTTAGGATCTGAGAAATTTGTTTTCAATTTTTATTCAACAGTATTAAGTCATCATCATCACTTTTAAAAACTTCAATCTCAATTCGTCACTTTTAGTTCGTCAATTTTAAAATTACTATTGTCATTTTCTTAGTAATTATCATCGACCAGCCTCATCTCCATCACGCCGTCAACGTGCTCCCATTCATCAGATTTAGGAACTTCGGGCAATCCATGCGACGCGAAACCATGCCGTAACAACGGCACCTGTGTAAGGAATGGTTCAGGCAGTTACGAATGTAAATGTCAGAGCGGTTTCTCGGGAAAGCAGTGCCAAGATAACGGTAGACATCTTCATCCAATTTTATTCAAACTTTCATAAATCTTTTTGGAAGTATTTCAGTTTTGTTTTGTTTGTTCCACAATTTTCCTTAGCGTGTAAATAATGGAATCAATAGATGCTAAATCACTAGAACTGTTAATTTCAATGTCAAAACTTCAAATTATAAACACTTTAGTCGAAATTGTTAACTTTGGTTTCATTTATAACAATTCAACAAATTTTGGAAAAAAATCTATCGCAGAGTGTTGTGGTGGTTGTAACATTCCGCCTGGTTACAGATGCGGAGCGGACAGGCTTTGTGACATCAAGTTCAACCCGTCAAAGAACTGCACTGAGGAGCGTCTTTTCCGAAAGTTTTCAAGCAACAGATGGTGGAAATTTGATTACGAGTAAGTTGCTGATGATAATTATCAATTATAATTGAATTGGCAATTGAAAACATTTTTTGACCTTCAACCTTAACGTTAATATAGAAGAATATTTCGTAATTTTACAATTTCGTAGTCTTTTAACTAAGTTATCTTGTATTGAGTTTGCCATCAAATTTCTCACAAGATACAGGAATGTAACCTTTGAATGCATACAATATAAGGCCTGTTGCGATAACGCTGTCCAAGTGAATTCAAGATGTCTTGGTATGTTACTGTCGTTGTTATTTCTGGCTATATAATACTTGTGTAATGTTATATGTGCATTTGCCACAGATTATTGCAGAACGTGTAACACAACCACATACTTCAGAAAGCTCATTAAACATTTTTTATTCGGCAATAAACAAAACCACACATTGCAACACGCCATTCCACAACATTACACAACTCTACAAAGTTTTATTACATGGTTCTTATTAAAGTTTATTACGCACAAAAGCCCTAGGTTGGACTGATTGGTCATACTGTGGCGCAGATTGCACGCAGAACAGGTACATGTATGGCATGAAGGACGGAACTTATCAAATGTACGCTTCTATTAATTCAGTTTTTAAAACAAAATTTGATCAAAATAAAAAACAAAAACAAAAATACATATTAATTGATTGGTAATAAAACCAAGCATTAATTTACACGCATGAATCATATTATTATGGGAATAAACGTTCCTAACAATAACAGACTGTAATATTTAAAATTAAAATGTTAATGAATCTCTTTTTTTGTTAAATTGTTTTCAGAGTGAATTCTGAGGAGAGAACGTGCTCAGACGGTTTCTGCAGTTATCATCGGTGGGACTGGGGCTTCTGGGGTCCTTTCGATGACGGGTGAGTCCATGTTTGCTGGAGTTAGCGGAGTTGTGTTTTAGCATTGTTTGGGGTTTATTTAAAATGCGATAACCTGTAACTGTATGGTGTGTATAATATAATTCCATTAAATATTTAATGCACGTCTCTTGCTATTTGGCTATCAGAAAAATTCTTCTATATTAGTTTAGAATTTGAAATATTTCAGTTGTTTTCATACTTGCTTATTAATATAAATTTGAAAATATTAATTCTTTTAAAGAGAAAATAACATGTAACACATGCTTCGTTGGTCTCTATGTTCATATTTATACTACTCTATCTTCATATTTTTGAGTTTTAAGTTTCCAATGCTAGCGTCTTTTCCTGTTGTTAGTAGCAGTAATTTAAATGATGTTAAATGCGGTTATTACGGTTATCAATTAGTAATTTTTTTAATAATATAATTTTCAGTTAAATTATGAATTAATTTTAAACGGTTACAAGAGTTATGACCAATGCTCTTACAACTATAACATGACGTAATAATGAAGTAATAAAAAATACTGAAGTAATGATTAATAATGAAGTATTAAGAAATATTGAAGTAATAAGTAATAATTAAGTAATGAGTAATAATGAAGTAATAAAAAATACTGAAGTAATGAGTAATAATGAAGTAATAAAAAATACTGAAGTAATGAGTAATACTGAAGTAATAAAAAATACTGAAGTAATGAGTAATACTGAAGTAATAAGTAATACTGAAGTAATAAGAAATACTGAAGTAATAAGTAATACTGAAGTAATGAGTAATACTGAAGTAATAAAAAATACTGAAGTAATGAGTAATACTGAAGTAATAAGTAATACTGAAGTAATAAGAAATACTGAAGTAATAAGAAATACTGAAGTAATAAGAAATACTGAAGTAATAAGAAATACTGAAGTAATAAGTAATACTGAAGTAATGAGTAATAACGAAGTAATAAAAAATACTGAAGTAATGAGTAATAACGAAGTAATAAAAAATACTGAAGTAATGAGTAATACTGAAGTAATAAGTAATACTGAAGTAATAAGAAATACTGAAGTAATAAGAAATACTGAAGTAATAAGAAATACTGAAGTAATAAGAAATACTGAAGTAATAAGTAATACTGAAGTAATGAGTAATAACGAAGTAATAAAAAATACTGAAGTAATGAGTAATAACGAAGTAATAAAAAATACTGAAGTAATGAGTAATACTGAAGTAATAAGTAATACTGAAGTAATAAGTAATACTGAGTAATAAAATAATAAAATACGAAGTAATAAAAAATACTGAAGTAATGAGTAATAACGAAGTAATAAAAAATACTGAAGTAATGAGTAATACTGAAGTAATAAGTAATACTGAAGTAATAAGTAATACTGAAGTAATGAGTAATAACGAAGTAATAAAAAATACTGAAGTAATGAGTAATAACGAAGTAATAAAAAATACTGAAGTAATGAGTAATACTGAAGTAATAAGAAATACTGAAGTAATAAGAAATACTGAAGTAATAAGTAATACTGAAGTAATGAGTAATAATGGAGTAATGAGTATACGAAATGTGGCGATGTTGTTGGAATTATGTGTGTAAATAATTTTCATTTTGGAACCAATTTCAGGCACGACCGCGGCCGCAGGCACTGAAGAGGCTGGTAGAAAAAAGGAACCAACTAAAATGAAAACCGACATTTCTAATTATTCCAGATAATAAATATAACAACATTATTAAAACAATTTATTAACTGTCATTTCTACACAAACTAAAAGGTTCCTAATAAATTTTGACTCACCATTTTGACGAGAAATATTTCATTTCATAGTTATTCTACGTACTATTTTAGAGATTTATATATTTGAGGAGTTCTTTTTTTCTGCTGTTTGACTATCAGAAATATTATTCTATATTAGTGTAGAAATTAAAACAGTTTAGTGTTTTTTCGTACTGCTTATAAATATAAATTTAAAAATGTTTTTTTTTAAAAAAAAAAACATAAAATGTTTGCAGCACAAAAAAGAAGGTTTCGCCTTAACCAAAATCGATACAAAATGATTGACTTATTCTTACAATTTTCGTGAGATTATTTGTTAGCAGTTTTTACATTTGTAACAAATTAAATTCTCGAAGGTTGGAATAGAATCTATGTACCACTGTCGGAGCCTGCGATATGTTTGAGTGTGTGAGTATCTCTATATTATATATCTGTGTGTGTGTGGTGTGTGTGTATCTCAATATTATATATCTTTGTGTGTGTCTTGTGTGTGTGTGAGTGTGTGTGTGTGTCTTGTTTGTATGTTTCAGTGTGTGTATCTCAAAAAAATCAAAGACGTTAGAAAACAATTTAATACTTTATAAAGGGGAGCATGAAGTTACCGAAAAACATTGTCATCGATCAGTTTGACATATTTCTTTATATATATGATATATATTTCGATATATGTACAGCCATTGTTGCGTGGAAGTTTTGTTATCAGTATAGAATAACATGCAAGCAACTCTGCGTTTGACAGCGTTGCATTATAAAGAATAAAGAAAAAATTCTTCCCAATATTGTCTTCATTATCCGTAGTTATTGTTAGAAATCATCTGATCGTGACCGATTTACGATGTTGTTATCATTTACTTGAGGTCATTTGACATGACATTAATTTGTTTTGTGCTTCAATTTTGTTGTTACTGATGTTGTTGATGTAAAATGTAAATATGGGCTGTTGTAATGAAGCACGGTGTTTCTGTTGTCTTTCGTTTGTTTAGATTTATTTTTAAATGTATGTTTCTTTTTATTATAATGAAAATGATGACGATAATAATGATTAACAATGACGATCAAGATGTCAATAATGATGTTTTAATAATTTTGTCAACGATTCACATTTCATTTTACATTTAGATACATTTACACCGCTGAGACTATTCAGTTTTCTTAAAATGCTGTTTCAAGAAATAAAAATATCATCTCGCTTGCCAAAAAATCTATTAAATTAACAGAAGTTTAGTGGAATTGTCAAATTAAAAACAGATTTTAAGTACGCTTTCTATAAATAAGACATGTCAAAACTTGTGTGACAATTTGCGTACGTTTAGGCAAAAATGAACAGAAGAACGTGTGACGAGTAAGTTTGAAAAAATCGATTTGCTTTACTTCAAAGGTTCGCAAGTCTTGCCAAAAAAATTTCAAAAGTGTATATAAAAAATTTATTTTCAAATGTATGTTTTTTTTTTAATAAAAATGATGACGAAAATGATGATTTACAATGACAATCATGATGTCAATGATGATGTTTTAATAATTTTGTCAATGATTCACATTTCGTTTTTGATAGAAAACCTTTTTGCCAACGGTTGATCGTAAATCATTTTCAAGTTTCTTCAGTACAAAATCAAATTTATATATATAGATTTTTTCTGATTTGATTCATTAATTATCATAAAAAATACTACAAAATATGCTTTTAAGACTTTCAAAACATGAGCATATGACATCGTTACTGTTATACACCATCATTAATGTTGCATCCTTACCTCTCATCAAACACAGCATCAAGAACATACAAACACTACATCTCCACAAATGGTGGATTTCTCCAGTCAGCATTAATAGCCATGATAGCTGTCAGCGACATGGACGGAATAATTTACAACAAAACTTCAGTTAACATGAGCAGATCTCACGCTGCATGCATGCCTAGGTTCGTCAAATGCGTCCACATCTGTCATCTTACAGCTAACTGTTTCCGCGCTGGTGTCGGAGTTTATGGGACGACTTGTTACCTCCTGCAAAATTCTTGCCTTATCTGAAAGATTACTTTCAGGTTATTTCAATTGAAATAATATTTAGAATAAACTTTTAAATCAATATTTTTAAAATTTTAATAATTATTTTGAAACATTTTTCAAATTTAATGATCGTCAATTATTTAAATAAATTTGTAGATTGTAGAGCAAAATGATGCGAAAATTCATTGCAAACGATGAAGAGGACGCCAGCAACAATATAAATATTGTGAAAACTTTAAATAGAAGTTTATTATACGATCAACTGAAACTTATTTTATTTTTTTATAGCTTCAAACTATTGAAACATTTTTTTTTTCAAAGCTGATTAAAAATTCCAAATTTGTTGACCTAATCACAAGATTATTTGGAATAATTATTACAACGTATTGATGTTATTTCGTAGCTCACTGTGTTTAACACGAGTTTTATTAATCAAGTAAAAATTACCTGCCTCACTAAATGTCTGCAATAAAATTGTCCGCAAAACTCCATCCAATATATTTAAAAATTTCGAGACAAAGTGTTAGTCAATTTGTTGTCTCATTCTGAAATAGTTTGTCGACGACCACGATAAAAGTGAGGAGACATGTTGCCAAACAATGTCTCATGACGCCAATATAATCTTATCGATCAGAAATCTAAACGTCAGAAACATTAAAATTAATTTCTACTGCCAGTCAGTAGCCATGTCAGAACTCACCGCCTCTTCAAATTCCTGCTTCTAATTTTATTTAAAGACGGATATTTAAGACAAAAGCTTTTGTGGAAATGTTAGCAAAAAATTAGCATCATCATTGTTGATTGTGTTTAGCATAAAAGCCAAAATGATGCAACATTAAGAGCAGACGCCTAAAGATTCATTAAACTTCAACAAAAGCGATTCAAAATACAATGGTGAAAGCCGAAGATATCGATTTCATCCTATGAATAGTTCCTATAAATGTTTCATTTCTCATTTCTCCTATCTCATTCCTATAAATGTTTGCCATTTATTTAAGGAATTGAAATACATTTTATTTGGTCAACAATGTTGATGCTTAGCAACAAGACTCATTTTACAGTGAAATAAAGAGAAATCTACCTTCAATGCATTTTCATGTGTGCTTTTATTACCAGTTAAATAATTGGACATTCGTTGCAGGCAAACAGTTGAATAAATATGAGTAGACAGTGTTGATTATTATCGTATTTTCTCAAATTATTTGCAGAATTGGTTTACAATAAAGTTAATTTACAAATACTTTTTTCATTTACAACAATCAAAATCATGTTGCCTACGTTTATATTCATCTTAATTTTGAATTTCCTCCCGACGTCCCCCTCCTCACCACCACCAGCAACATTCCAGCATCAAACTTCTCCATCCGGCATTACTCTTTTAAACACAAAACTCTTTCCTCCAATCCCTCTCAAATCAGTAGAGAACTTAATTTATGAAAAAACCTCTATGAACTTGAGCAAAACTCAGGTTGGATGCGTCCCTGATATAGTTAAATGCATTCTCCTATGCTCTCTCACAACTGATTGTGTTAAAGCTCTGATAAATTACACTTGGACCTACTGCTATCTACTAGGTGATTCAACAGATTATGTTAATATTTACAGTGTTGGGCTTTACGGCTATTTTCAGGTTGGATTTTTTGTTTGTTGTTTTATGAAAGATATTTTTGTAGATTAATATTAGAAAACTTTACGTTTTTAAAAGTTTCATTAATTTAAATTTATAACAATATCAGGTCCCCCTAGTAATGTATTTTGATTCCAGTATATCATTTTTTTTCATAAATTTTTGGTTTGTAATAAATAGTCACAAAAATTTTGTCAGTCTAACAATTAAAGTAATATTGAATTTAATCAAAATAAAAAGTAATTTGATTCAATTTTCTAACTTTTCACAAATGAACTATTCGACTTATTTGTTAACTTAATTTAAGTAAATTTTTCAGAAAGTAAACAGCCAAGAAACGCCAGCGATAGTTTAAACACACACGAACATGGAAGATGTAGTTTGATGATAAACTTAGTAAAATAGAAAATATACAAATAAACATTTTTAAATAAATGAAGATCCTTCGAAACATTCCACATCTCGTCTTTTCCTTTTTATATGTGAATTATAACAACTAAAACAATAACTTCTCACTGGCAACATAACATATTTTATTTTAGTGCACAAATGTTTAACAACTGTAGTTTGTGTGATTGGGGGGGCAGGAACCTACAGGGCATGGGAAGGATTTGGTGGTCTGAAAGCCCTGGAAACGATAAAATATTGACAACGTTAACAACGTTAACAACAATAGTGAACATAGTTTTGTTATTTGTTATTATCTTGGCAAGTTTGGCTGTTGTCATTATCATTACCATTAAGAGTCCCTAGTGGTAAATGTAGTAAAATTGTTGTCCTTACATGGCGCTAGTAATTACCATTAATTATGATAAAGTATTATCTATTGTTTTACATTCTTTGTTTGAGCTGTACGTTTAATTATTTAGAGGGAAATATTTCTGACAAGCGACAACAATGATGTGATGACAACAATGAGTGACAACAATGACAACAATGACAACAATCTATAATCACAAAATAATTTTTTAGGCCACTTTTAAATTTAAAACCAGCTAAAATCTATAAAAACAACACAATAGAAGCTTTTGAACAAATTCGTAAATGTGAAATTATGCTGCGGTGGTGTTTATTTTATTTCAAATTGCTTGCTCTTCCGCTAACTTGTTTGTTGAATTTTATTTGTGAATTAGCTGGTTTGGTCCGGCAGGTCTGCAGTTAGCTGGTTTGATCAATTGTATTGATGTAT